AATCTGTTTTTGATGTGAAATTCCAGCATTAATCAGATTACCTACCTAAATTTAACCAGGTCATTGTGACAAGATGTTGAATAGTTAACTGCACATCCACAGCTGTATACTTATTAATATTGCTTCTGCAACTTTCCCCAGTGAATGCTGGTACTGAGGGACAGTGGCCTGCTGCAGTGACTAACTCCTTACTGCTGCCAACCTCTGCCAGCATCCATCACAAGTCCAGTGTTTCTTGCATGTTGCATGACTACATCAGGGATTTAGGATCAGCTATTTGCTATGAGACAAAGATAATTTACCTGGGAAAAGTACAGCTCTTAGAAAGAGATGTTAACCCATCATGATCTGTGCTCGGGTTATGAGTGATACTGGCAAAACTATTTCAAAGCTGCCTGAGAAATCGGAGGGGTCTTCAGTTTTGCTGATTACATTGAATGTTGTCCAAAACAGTAAATCTTTAAACCTTAACCTGGAAATAGAAGTTTTGTATGTAGGATCTGTTAGGCTGCTTCTATGAAAGATATTAGTAAACCAAAAATCAAAATGCTGAAATTGACTTGCTTCAGACCCAAACAACCTAGCGCTTGCTAAGAAAATGTGCAAATGTTGCATTAGATAGACGAATAACATTTTTAGGAAAATTTGAAACAGAACAGGGGAAACCCACCACTTGGTGGAAAAGCAGAATGAGCTGTGAAGTACTACAGTGAGAATCAGGACATGGTTAAAATTTTGCAGTGATCTATACTGGCTTCATCATTTTGGACCCCCTTTAGCACTTTCAGATGAAACCACCTGACTAGGTATCTTCAATGTGTTGAGCTTTTTTAAAATGGGCAAGCTCAACTTTGAACAGTCTAGTCACTACTTTTTAATCCCCACAGCATGAATTTTTCCAAAAAAGAACACTTACTTGGAGTATATAGTTGGACTTTGAATTGACGACAACTTTTAGGTTTCTCATTTAGTAGCATAACCACTGCCATATCCTGTGTAGGAAGCCCTTGGGAGTGGTCCCAGAGTTTACCCTGAGAACATGCCCTTTAATTTTCCACTGACATGGAAACCTAATCACAAAAACAAATGATTTACTATTTTCTGCTTCCCTGCCTTGTTGATATATCTGTGTACCAATACGTCCACCGGAAACTGACTCCATAGTTATTGGGAGGTGTTGGATTTGGGAAGTTTATCAGCAAGGGGGAGCTGGATCTTCCTTTCGGGTGCAAGGCATGCTTTTCTAGGCAAAGAGAACAAAACTGCAAGGGCAGGACACCTAGCACCAAACTTACAAGCCAATTAAATCTTTTTTTGGCTTGAGTTCAGTGCGGTCTGTTCACGTCCGTCTGGATATACTCCAAGGACTGTCCAAACAAAATATGTTCAAGAGAAATCCCTCAGAACTGAATTCCTCTTTGCTTTTCTGATTTGCTTTGTCCTCCAATCTGGCAGACAGTGGAGTCGACAGCTAGTTTCCTCTTTTTTTCCTTGCTTGTTAAACCCAAATATACCCCCACTCTGCACTCATTACTTTACTTTCATACCATGGCGTTAAATCACCTCCCCTGTTTCTTTCGCATCTATTCTCCTCCTGTGGCCCCCATTCTCTCCCCTTACTTATAAACCATCTTAACAATTCTAAGTAGGGGTAGGAAGAATTGCCGTGTTCTCGTACATTGGGAAAACGTTTTACAAACCAGTGATTGGGAGATGGAACTGAGGAGGGGGCAACATGAAAATCTAAAAATTGGGGAACAGAGTTGAAGTTGGTTGTGGCTTTACAGAGATTGGTAGTATGTAGTATTTCAATTCGGGGCCAGTGCTGTTCAATGATCTTGGAATTCTGGGTGTACGGGAAGTGAGGTTAAAATTTGGAGATGATACCAAACGAGGTACAGATAATTCATTAGATCTTTAAGAGATTATAGGGCATTGAGCCCTGAAGTGAGGTGTGGAATTCAGCATTCATAAGTGTGAGGTAATGTATCCTTGGATTAAAAATTACCAACAGTAATTTTATTCCGAGAAATGCAATTCAGTGCTGTGGAAAGGCAGTTTTGAAGGTGCAGAATTACAAGTATTGAAAGCAGAATATTAGATTAATGGATAGACAGTTTTTGTTCAAAATCCAGTTTTTTTTTTTCTCTTTATTGCGGAGGTTTAAGATTTTTAAAAATACAATATATTGGTGAGCCTACAGTGTCGTCAGATGTAGGGCTTTAGGGAGAAATACAGTGCAAATTTGCTAAGATGTTGCCTGGTATGAGGAAATGCAAAGAAAGACAAATTGGGTATTTTTTCAATAAAACACTGTTTAGCAATATAATGTATAATTTCACATATCCTAATAATTAAACCAGAGAAGCAGATTTAATTGAAAATTTACGGTGAGGGAGACAAATAAGCAGAAAAGGCTTCAAAAGTAGCAGAAATTGATCAGTCTAAAAATTTCAGATTCTAGCTTAGAGTGAATTAAGGCTAGTTAGGCTGAAAGGTTTGTAACTTCTGAATGTATTTCTACTTCAATTCTAGTTCCACTTAATTTCCTAACTATGCAGCCTTACCCCCCCACCCCACCCACCAACTCTAATGACTAGATGCATACATATGTTTCACTGGCATCTTTCTCTTTTCCTCACCACAACCAACCAATATTCAAAGCTGCTTTCATCAATGACCACTCAATGAGACTGACTGTCCTCAGGAGCTTGCTGCCATCTCCAGTCATCTCTTCGTGGATGTGTTGTTTCCTATCAGATCTCATCTCATCTCATCTCATCCTTCTCTCATGCACTTGCCACCACCAAAATAACCTGTGCTAAAATTAGGACTGACATTGAGCAACTCTGCCATGCTTTATTTTTGATGCTAGCCCTTTCTGCAGCTTTTGTTAACCACCTTGATGTGCTAGACGTGCAACTGTATCCAGTTAATGTATGACTGCTCTTGCTTGATTCTCGTCCAGCCATTGCTTTGGTTATCCTTCATTTACAGGCTTCGTTTCAATAATAAATATCGAGTGACCTGGATCAATGAATGCTGACTATGCTATAATTCCTTTCTACCCCTTCTAACTCTTCTGGGCTGCTTGTCTGGCACCTAACAAATTAAGTCTTGTATCTTCTTCTCTAGATTCTTTCTGGATTGTACTTGCAGGTCAAGGAAAGACCCTTTTGTGGACTAGTAGTTCTTTTGGGTAGAATTGTAGTACAAGTGTTTGTACATCCACCATTTAAACCAGGGAATGGACACCAGTGACTCTGTGTACTGTGTGCTTTCTACCCATTCATTGAGTACACGTGTCCCCCTCTGCATCAGCAGAAACAGCCCTCAAGCTGGGTGCTGGGCTGCCTGACGTTCACCTCTTTTTCACTTAAGTGGAGAGCTTCTTGACTCTGATCGCCCTGAGCAATTGACTTATGGTATCCTGGGATTGGTTGCTGCTTTTCGTCTATGTGCTGGGACCCTCTGAGCAAAGGCTGACTCCCTCAACTTGACTGAGGACAGCTGACGACCGTGCAAATTTCCAGGCTATGTCTGCACTAAAAGGCATGGCAATAGAGTAGTACGATGAACCTGGTATCATTTGCTGAGTTCAGAGTGCCAAAAAGCAAAACTAAACAGGGATGCTGTGGGCCTACCTGAATGCTCGAAGTGAATGAGCAAGTGAATAACCCAAATTTGCAGCCTAGTTCAGTTCCATGAGCTGAGTGCATGTCCCTGGGTGCTGTGGCCTTGCTACAACATTACATTTGATAGGTATCATGCCCTGAGGTGCAGCACTGAAGTGCAGAAGTGTTCTGTATGTGGGTCAGAGAAATGCCATGAGGATTTTTAGATGCATTTGTTAACTACCGATGTTCGTATACTCGGGATGCATGTGGCCCTTGCTTGTGGAGCCTCCCCTGAGATGTTGGTGCCTGGTGCTCATCATTTTGAGGTCCTTTTTGGAGCAAGTGGTGTGCTGAAGTTACCTAGTACTTGCTCTGATTTCCATGGTCACAAACTCTCTGTGCCTAGTTTTCTTCGTGGAGGGTGTCAAGCTAGAGAGCTGTATATTAAATGCAATTCTTGCTTTATTAATAAAAGTAGTTAAGAATAAAATTCCCTCTTTTTTTTAAATGGGAAACTCTTCACCAGTCAGCAGGAATCTTGACTCAGCCCCGGGACTTCAAAAGGTGCAGCAGTTTGTTCCTGCTGTTGAAGTAGGCCTTGCTGAACCTCACATTCTATTCTGTCACATTTCCTGCTATAGCCCATGTTGTTAGGGACCCTGTAAGGTTAAACATCTTGAGCCTTGCAAAACTCAAAAATCCAACAGATGAAACCTTTTAATTGCTAAAAGAACTGACCAGCATATGTTTCTAAAGCTTGAGGACTTCAGGGGTTTCAATGTTTCCAGTACAGGCAGTCCCCAGGTTGCAAATGGTCCTGTTTGAGTCCATTCACAGGTTGGCCACAATGCAGGATAGTGCAAAATAATAGTTTGTAAACATGAGGAAATATTTGCATGTCAGAATTCAAAATTATCTCTAACCTTGTAGCGGCTCACATTTGTAATATGAGTGTAAGTCTGATGTTTGCATCCGTGGATCATCCGTGGCATCACATGTAGATGTTTTTTTTAAAGAGAAATGCATGCTAGTGGCTAGATTTTAAATGCATTTTCTCTTGTAGGTTAATCATTAAATAAACATGGTTTGCTGCTGTACTTTAGTGTCATAGGATTTGACTATGGTTTCTAGCAAACTGAAAGTAGTTTCAAGCTATAACAGAACCAGAAGTTCTGTGGCTTGGACATTTAAAATTAATTTACATGGAGGTGAAGTTGAGATTTGGAAGGTTGCACACCAGTTATTGTGGCTTGGTCCCTTCTGAAAAGTGGGTTTTTTTTCTTTTTCCATTTTAGTTGTGCTGCTCACTTGATTCAGGTAGCCCATTGGCAGAAACTGCTGTTTTCAATGAGACCTTTTTCCTAATTATCTGCTCTCTTACAGATCAAAAAGCTGGCAGGCTGACGTGGGCAGGAATTCACTTATAGGACGGACTTTCCGGCAACTGACCATTTAGCTGGTGAGTCTTACCTTTTGCCTCTCCATTGATACATTTTCCATTTGGAGCATCTTTGTAAAAGACAGTATGGAAATGCACGTCTTCCCATTTTATTCTTTCTTCCTTCCTGATCACGTTCTCCTGCATTGCGTAAAGTCATTGTTCTTCCTATTGCTTAGTTGAATTTGACACTCCTCATTTTCTAACCTTTGTCCTTTAGGCCTCCAACAGCTGAAATTGCCCTTCTCTCTGGCATTCCTTTCTTCTTTGATCTATAGGGCTTTAAAATTTAAAGCTCATCCGCGTGATTACCTCGGCTTGTGTCTTCTGTGGACCTTCAATGTTTCCTAACTTGTGTAATGATACATTATCATTCTTAAATATGTTTTGATCAAACTTGCACGCCCCTCATTTGCAAATAAACACAAGCCTTTGTTGTGCTAACCAATAATATTGAGCAACCACCTTCTGTGGGTATGAATTAGCTTGCTTTGCCTACTCTGAATAAGTGGAAGTTGGGCCACTCACTGAAAGGTGTTAAGAGCTTGCTGTGCCTTAAATCCCATTTTTAGCCCAGATTTATTCAACAAAACTTTTGTAAAAACTGCACTAGCAAATAATTACATATTTTCTGGGCAGCGGCATTGTATGATTGCAATAAACTTTGTTCTCCATCTTTTTAGCAATTGTATTTCTCAAATAAACAATTTCTTGCAGAATGTCTGTCTTTTTATTTAAATGCCAGTCATTTTTTTCTGTTCAGAAAATGCATTCTTTGAAGACAGCTCATCATAGCAGTAGGAGATTTTGGGTTTTAAATTGTCCCAATGTTTTAAGAACTTCAGTTTTGATTATTTTGCTTGCACTTGTATGCATTAATGAGGGCAATTATCAGTGAATCATAGAATCCCAACAGTGTGGAAGCAAGCCATTTGGCCCATTCTATCGGCCCTCTGAACAGCGTCCCATCCAGACCGCACCCCACTCTATCCCTGCATTTTCTCTGGCTAACCCACCTAGCCTCCACATCCTTGGACACCATGGGCAATTGTATGTGTCCAATCCATCTAACTTGCACATCTTTGAACTGTGGGAGGAAACTCACACAGATGTGATGAGAATGTATAAACCACACACAGTTGCCCGAGGGTCGAATCGAATTGAATCCAGGTCCTTGGTGCTCTGAGGCAGCAGTGCTAACCACTGAGTTACCATGTCATCCAAGTGAAACTGCCAGCACTCTTTTCTTTGTATGTAATAGCTAGACTAAAGGTTATGGTGTCAGTCTAGTCATCAGTTCTGGTGGTCTTTCTTTGCCATACAATGCTGGGGAAGTAACTGGGTAATTGAGGTCCTATCTCCCCTCAGCCCTCTTGTGTCTGCATTAATGTAACTCCAAACTACTTGCATTTTTTTGACTAACCAGCAGTTTTCCCTGACCTTTGTATTCCCTTTGCTGGAAAGCAAAGATTTTGCTTTTATAACAATCTTCGCACTAGTGGTTTTTGATTTGTAATAGGGCCAAAATTTCTGATTGGTTGATCTGGTATGCAAAGAGATTTAATTGTTATCTAAGTGGATTTTTTTAAAACCAGAATGTTGCTTTGTAACTGCTGGCCTAGTTGTGTTCAGCTATGTTATAAATTTTGATCAATCACTCTCTCTTCATTTTATTGCTAAACAATCCACCAGTCATTGGGTGTTTACAAGGTTGAGGTTGGGATCTATGTTGCTAGTCCTCTACTTCTTTGTTTTTAAAATATGTTTGTATTGAATTTTCCATCAATCTAGTAGGCAATCTTGGTCTCTAACATAAAAACCATTTTCTGTGACTTAACCCATCAGAGAAGGCACTAGCAATCTTGTTAACTTTTCATGCTTCCTCATGTCTGCGGCTGACACATTTTTGGGTTTTTTTTACCTGCTGGATACAATGGCTAACCACCTTTTTTATATTGTCACTACCAGTTGCTTTTATGTTTCAAGGTTCCTGCTGTGATTCTCTATTTATCATGTTAGCTCCACTGACAGTCTCCCTTTCCAAGTTTCTCCAATTTTTTTTGGAACTTTGATTTGGAAACTTAGGCTACTTGCAGGAGTTTGGAGGCTGTGTGCAGTAAGTTAGGGGAAGATAAGGGTTAGGGAGAGGGAGCAGCTGCCTGGGGTGGGGGTGTTGGGGGAGGGAAAAGCATGACTACGTGTGGGAAGGTGGAATGGGAGGAGCAGTGGCTTCACATTGATAGTGGAGAGAGCTAGTTGCAGGGTTGACTGACGTTTGGTGAGAGAGAGCACGAGGCAGAGTGAATGTTCAGCTAACTACAGATTTGGGAATATTTGAAATCACTGAAGTAATGAATTCATTGACACCATGTTCTAGGCAATTTGTCAAGCAATTTGCCTTATCCCATTGACTAATTTGATTATATCTCCCAGACATTTGTGGTCTTTTCAGCTCTGTTGAAGTCACCAAGATAAAACCATCTATTACTCTTTGGGATTCAGGCTAGGGTCTTCCTAAGACTGGTGTAAGATTCCTTGTTAGACTCCTCTGTAGCATCCAGTTTTAGGGTGTACTGAACTGTACAGCACTGTTTTTAAGCAGAGTGAGCTGAACAGGCATGATGTATTTGTTTATCCTGCAAAAGGGAATCTCTGAGATGGCCAACTAGTTTGAAAACAAAGCCAACCCATAGAGATGTCATCCTTCTGATTTACCTTTCCAAAAGACGGTGTAACTGCCACCTTATTCCTTGTGTTGTCCACCGCATCTTGCTTAGAGTTGTGATATCAAAATGTCCAAGGCCCCTGGCAATGGCAGCAGTATGCCGGTTGGGTCTGTCACCATTGTTTCATTTTTGCACGTTCCAAAATTTAGTTTAAGGGGTGGACGATGCCTGTGTGAAAATTATTTTAATGTGGGGTGACTGTTGCACATCAAATAATGCGTAGGCTTGCTAGAACAAGGCCTTGGTCCAATGGCAAGGATGTCCAAAATAACTGGAAGTCAGGCTTCACTACAAGAAAGTGTTGACAGATATATCATTGGGCTATCCAGGCACCTACAATTGTCAGAATTATTCAGCAACCTATGCTCAAAGTTTATGCACACAGCAGGACATTCAATTTTGCTGCACTGTGCCAGCACAACCTTTGGTTGCTTGAAGAAGAGGGTATTTGAAGACTAGAATCTTAACCCTGGCATTAAGTTCTTGATCTATAAAGCAGTAGTGATATCCATCTTCCTATATGGCCCAGAGAAATGGATTATGTACAGAAGCACCACCACTGCTAACTCTAAGATCCTGTAAATCCATTAGCCTGATAGACACACATTAATGTTCTTACTTGGACCAATATCCCTAGCATTGACCACACTTGATCAGCTCTGCTGGGCTGGCCACGTCATCTGAGTGCCTGATATAGGACTCCCAAAACACATGCTCTAATGGGAGCTTTGATATGGCAAACAAGCCACAGAAGGCAAAGGAAATGCTTCAGAAACCTCGAAGGACTCTTGAAAGAGTGCGACATCTCCATTGACATCTGGAAAATCTAGGCCCAAGACTGCCTGAAATTGGAGGGGAGGCATCTAGGAACAGTCTGTACACTTGTAGTCTCATCACTGATAGCAAAGTGAAGCCAAATGCAAATAAAGAAAAGTATGTAACAACATGGACATCCACCCTCCCATTTCACCCAATTGCTTTCCACCCCACACTGACGGAGACTGTAGGTCATGCATTGGCCTCTTCAATGTGCGAGCAAGTCTTCCTCTGTCATGAGGGACTGTCGGAGACTCTGTGTGTGTTACCTAGGAAATTAACACTGTTCTTGTGCATTGTGGCTTAAGTTTCACAGAGTGGTGCTAATTTATTGAAGATATTGATGAATTCTTCAAATTCTGCATCATTGTGAACCTTTTTACATACTGCATGTCAACACCAATACGGAAGATATTGTTACCACATGACTGCCTCACCTAATAAATGAGTTAGCGAAAGTGAAAATGTTGTTGCCCCTGAAAGCCAAAATGTAGCTTTCAAGTCTTGAATAGCCATTCACTAGAAACCATGCAGAGCAGAAAGTATGAGGATCTGTTTCTAGTTTCTGCTGAGTTAGCTGACTGCAGGTGGGGCTGTCAAGTTAGTTTTGCACCTGAAGCTTTGCAGGGTATATGTAACAAATCATCCTTGCTTTCTCCATCAAATTATCACCTCTTATTGGTTTGAAAACTAGATCTCCACTTAATTCTAATGAATTACCTTCTGATGGTCATTGTCTGTCTAGGTTTTGAATGGAGAATTCCAATTTTGCCAAATCTTGCAGAACCACATGCCAGTGATTTTTAACTGACTAAACAAGGGAAGCCATACAGAATTTAAAGCATAGAAACAGGCCACTTGGCCCAACTGATCAGTGATTGGTGCGTTTTTTTTTGGAAAAAATCTTTTGCCCATAGTTTGGGCTCCTTCTGGATCTAAATGTTCTTTGTCGCAACTGGCCTTTTTTGAACCTCTTATAATCTAAAGATCTCTATCAGGTCACCTCAATGTTTTCTTCCAAGAAAACAACTCTACACTTTTTTTGTTCATGAATAATCTGCGTTTAATGATTTGTAATCTAATGGTTAAGTGGCTGGTATGTGTGAGACAGTATCAATGTTTTGCCGTGTTTGTCTGTTACAGTGGCATACCCGGACCTCGTGTACGTGGGATATCGACAATGAGCTCCGTAGCCGTATTGACGCCTGAAAGTTTTGCCGAGCACAGGAATGGCCTCAATGAACAACAAGCTAAAGGTCAGTGAACAGTTCTGTAACGTACTTCTAAAACAGTAACTGCTGCTTGATGCTGCGCTCTTTCTTTCAGTATCCAATGTGAAACTGCACCGCTGTCTTAAATTCATCAAATTAATTAGTGATTTGTTTCCCAGAATGTCGAGAGTTCTAATCCTAAGGGTGCTGTCACTTGGGTTTCTTACCCAGGGACTTGACACATTTCACATGTCAAAGGACAGCACTTTAAGATTAAGACAGTGCATGGAAACTAGCTTTCTAGTTCTAAATTGTTAATTGGTTGTTCTACTTCTCCCATTCTGTTTGAAGAGGATGTTTGGCCTTGACTGTTCCAGATTCTGTCCCCTTGGCTCCAGTACAGTGTTAACAGCTATGTTTTTTTTTTTCCTCCTTTCCCCACCTCTCACCGCTCAAATTACAGGATGTGGTACGGTGAAAGTTCAATACTCCTGCCTTGTAGTATGCAGACCTTCTGTGTATTTTCTTATGCTTACAGTAACTAGTAACTCCACTATTGCATTTCATGTGCAGACTGCAAGAGACTTTTTTTCTCCCTTGCTGTAACACCTTATCTCTCCCGGATACTCTTATCCCTCCTCGCGTTACTGCTTGTGAAAAGTCGTAACGTGCTGTCCACATCTGAGCTATCCTCCGCTTGAGTGTCTGTTCTCCGACACTCTTGTCCGTTGCAGTACTTTCTTTGGAGAGCACAGAATAATTCTTGTGTTTGTACTCATACATGCTCCTATTCAGCTCACGTGCAGGCCTGGAAAGCCAACAGACAGGAAGAGGAAGATGTGCTGGCCACAGGCTGTGCTCCTTTTCATAGGTATTAATAGTTTGCTGGGAGCTTATTTCACTGACTCCAGGTAATGCACCTCCCTAGTGATTTGGAGATGAGATTGAAAGACTATGGATAGTGAATATCTTTGGTGGCAGACAAATTGCTTCATGGCTCCTGGATTGGGAGTAAACTGACGTTATATCAACAGATGTGAGTGGATTCCCTCCACTTTCCTTCATAATTCTTCTTCTAAGTGTACTGCACTTTTGAAAGTTTCAGGCTTATGCAGACAACCCATCACTCGATTTTTGACTTAAAAACGTATCCTGTTAAAGCATTTATTTTCTCAACAAATAACCAAAACTGTACATACTGAAGTCAGTTGCAATTCTCTTTTCTTGCAAATTGCTACTATTTGCCACTCTCTTCTGATGTTGATAGCTGTGTTTGTGACTTGGACCAAAGTAATTTCTTGCTTATTCTGCAGCGAGTGTTGGTTCTGAAGATGAGACCGATCTGGTACCAACTTACAAGGAAGCATTTCCTCCTCTCCCCGAGAAAGCTACTCCTGGAGAGACGACAGCGGAACTGTCTGGAGCATGGACCAAAATCCGACCACTCAAATCTTCTCTCATCACCCAGGTATGACTTGCTGAATAAGGCCCTTGTGTAAAATAAAGCCCGCACTTGAGTGGAGGTTAAAATCCTCACTCATTGCGGGGATAGAGAGTACTGATGAATTCTTTACCCTGGGAGCAGCTTTTTGAGCACAATCTTTGCTTTTGAGACCAGCATTCAAATTTTGCTCACAGCTGTGCGCTTGAACGTTTAAACTTTTTTTTATAAATGACTTTAACTGCATCTTTTCGCTTTTGCAACAGTGTTTCCCAGGTTTGCCATTTAGATATATCAAGGGGATTATAATTCAGGAAAATACTGGAGATGAACAGCTGTTCAGTTGATTTGAGTAGGGGAAAAAGAAGTGGCAAATTAAGTTTCCAGTACACCACCTTCAAAGTAATGATCAGAAAAATCAGAAGCAGAATATATGGATTCCAAAACAGAAATGCACAGAGGAATCTTTTAATAACTTGAGTAGCCTCTGTTAGATAACTGACAAACTGCAAAAGAGAGAAATGATGTGTAAATAGCAAAGGATTTGAGATAATGCACACTTCTCTCTCCTTTTTCCAGGTTTTCCATGTACCATTGGAAGAGCGCAAGTACAAGGAAATAACCCAATTTGGAGAAGGAGATCAAGCTAAGATCTGTCTGGATATCATGCAGAAGACTGGTGCGCACATCGAACTCTCGTTGGCTAAGGACCAAGGACTTTCCATCATGGTTTCTGGCAAGCTTGAGGCTGTCATGAAAGCGAGGAAGGAGATTGTTGCTAAGCTGCAGACTCAGGTAATCAGTGAGTGAAAGAATTGGATTTCAAAATTTCACAAACTTGGCTCAATACAGGTTAAGTCACTTTTGAATATAAATACATTTTGAGAGTTTATTATGCAAATCCAAATAAATTGATGTCACTAGGATTTTATGAATAAACTTGGATAATAGTTTGAAATGTAGTTATGGGACTTGAGATCTGAGATCTGAAATCTGATTTTTAGTGTTGCACACAGATCCACACTTCACGTCAGCTCTGACAAAGAGTCCAGACTTGAAACGTTAGCTTGCTCTCTCTCCACGATAGGTAAATGGCTGTCTGACCTGCTGTGATCGCCAGCATTTGTTGTTTTCAGTACAGATTCCAGCATCTGCAGTAATTTCCTCCTGCTCTTAGCATTAAGTGAACATTCTTTCCCATAGTATGGGAGGAATCCAAGTTCTGTAAGGTTTACCATCATATTTGGAGGGGAGATTCTCCTGTGTGCTATTTGCAAAAGGGAAATAAACAATATTGATGAATTAACTTTCTTTAAATTCCTTTTTGCTACTTTTATTTATAAGTATATGGTCTCGACAATTCAAATGTTATCTTGTATTAAAATAGCTATGGATTCTGATTTTTAACTCGGCTGTTATCTAACTTTTTGGTCAGCTGTATGTTTGTGTTATTTGGGAATTCATGCTCAGGTTGGTGACATGCTAATTTCCCTGAGATATAGCCTGTATCAGGATGTTTGTGCTTAGTGCTGAGCACTTACCTGACTGCTTACCTATTGATCCTAGGCCTCAGCAACAGTAGCCATCCCCAAAGAACACCATCGTTTTGTGATTGGAAAAAGTGGAGAGAAACTGCAGGAGTTGGAATTGAAGACAGCGACTAAGATCCAGATTCCTCGGCCTGAAGATCCTAGCAACCAGATCAAAATAACTGGCACTAAGGAAGGCATTGAGAAAGCGCGACATGAAATCTTGCTGATCTCTGCTGAACAGGTATGCACAGAGTATTACTACTTAATGATTAGTGATTTTGTCACAGGTGCTGAATTAGGATACATTTCAGTGACCAGAACTGAAATAGTAAATTCAGGTTGCATCCTGACCAAATCACTGTAGTTTTTAGTATGGTTTTCTCCAGATTTGACAGTATAGGTCAACATTCTGTGATATCCTTAATTGCAACTCTGCAAAACATCACAGTGGTATTGAATGGAGTTTGAAGTCTGTGCATGATTTTTCTGCAAATCTTTACCATTTTGCAATTAACTGCTGTAGATGTAATTCATCTTTTTTTTTTAAAAAAAAGCCTATTTTATAGATATTGCCAAGATTTGTTCTTCGATTTTTATTGTTAATTTATCTGACTCAAGTATTGCCGTTTTCTTTCCCCCCACTAACCTGCCACCCCAATTAGATGTCTTCTGAGTTTGTACAGCTCTTCATCTAAGGTGATGTAGCAAATAATGAAGACATTCAGTCCATCATGCTTGATTCAGCAAAAGTCATTGAATCTCAGCACAGAGGTTCACACTGCTGCTTCGCAACACGGGGGACCTGGGTTTGATTCCAGCCTTGGGTGATTGTCTGTCTGTGTGGAGTTTACACGTTCTTCCTGTGTCTGCATGGGCTTCCTCCAGGTGCTCTGGTACCCTCCCACAGCCGGAAAGATCTGCAGATTTGGTGGATTGGCCATGCTAAATTGCATTGTAGCGTCCAGGGATGTGCAGGTTACGTGGATGAGCCATGTTAAATGTGGGATTTGGGAATAGCTTGCAGTGCTGGCTGTAGGTGGGATGCTCTTCAGAGGGATGATGTGGACTTAATGGACAGAATGGCCTCTTTCCACGTTGTAGGGATTCAATGGTTCTCTTCTATGCTTCTAAATAATGTAGAATTTGTAGGGATCGCAATATTCGTCCTGACATACCATTTGAATACACATCTCCAGCTTAACACTGTTGTAGAACTTGCCTCAGTGTTCTTGTATTTTGGCCAAAGTTCCACAAACTGCACAACTCTTATGAAAGGCATCTTAATAGCCTCTTAATTCCTCTTTTCCTCCAAAAAGTCTATCTTTTGGAGCTAAGTACCCATCTCACAAGCAAAGCCAGATATAGTACTGATCATCTGTCTGGCAATATGGCACATAATAAGTGGCTTTGTCTGACAAACAAATTGAGTTTGGGTTTACGCAAGAGACTATATCTTTTGTGCTTGGGGACACTGTTTTAAAGGCAAAAAAGCTTAATTTTGAAATCAAAATCTTTTTATTTCCTACAGGACAAGCGTGCAGTTGAGAGGATCAATATTGAAAAAGTCTATCACCCGTTCATTGCTGGCCCCTTCAACAAGACTGCTGGGGAGTTGATGCAGGAGACGGGAACACGGATCAATATCCCGCCCCCAAGTGTCTTGAAGAATGAGATTGTTATCACTGGCGAGAAAGAACAGGTTGCACAGGCTGTTTCACGCATCAAGAGGATCTATGAAGATAAGGTAAATGGCACTGAAAGCAATGCCTTCTCACTCTATGTTCACTTTAAACCTAGATGGCATTTGCTTCTGATGGATATACAATAATGATATGACTTTGGTGTAGAAAGTGACTCATAGCAGTGCGTTAGCAGCACAGTAGTTGGGTACTGCATTTATCCTGTGATCTCCTGCACCTGTTTATGGTTGGTCATGGAAGAAGGTTGGTATAATTTGGGGGATACTTACTGTTTGCTTTTTTTTCTTTTGGACAGCACCTAAAACAGATGAAATTAAACTGGTATGAAGATTGGAGTTGAATATTAATTGAGAATTTGCTCGTTAAACTTGTATAAGTTTGGAATTGTCATCAAACCTGAGTGATACAATTTCCATCAACCTGGAATGTTGATCCTCTTTTTTCATTCTCCAAAGATGTTAACTTTTTGTAGAAACTTCTGTTTTCTTTTATATAGTTGACCCCAGATGCTGTGCATGTCACTGAATAATGATCTGAAAATTTACATTGCTTATTTTGTTTTCTTTCCTATCTGATTCCTGTGCCAACCCAACTAAAATTGGGTAACTTGGCCCAGTCTAGGGATGGAACCTTGATCTTCCTGTCTTGCACACTGGGTCTGCAGTTACCAGGCAAGCTTTAAATTAATTACTAGTTTAAATTTTGTGCATCTAGAAAAAGAAAACCACGACGATCGCTGTGGAGGTGAAGAAATCACAACACAAGTATGTTATTGGACCCAAAGGCAACTCGCTGCAGGAGATTTTGGAACGGACTGGAGTCTCGGTCGAAATCCCACCTTCGGATAGCAATTCTGAAACAGTCATTCTTCGTGGCGAACCTGACAAACTGGGGCAGGCTTTGACCGAAGTCTATGCTAAAGTAGGTTATATCACCTGATTATTGTAATCCTAATGATTTAAATCATGCACAGATTACGAATTTTATTCTTGTGATTTGCATTTTGCCTGCCTTAGATAACTTCTCCGTTCTCAGTTCTAATTCCATTCTGTAAGTACTCTGACTGTGACTGTCTTGCTTTCGTCAGCATTGGCTGTCACCACCCAATATCTGTCTGTGTGATACATTCACCTCCCCCATTGACTTGTAGTGTCTTTTTACTTTTGTTTTCATGGATTTACCCCGTCTCTTCAAGGGCAGAGCACGTTTAAGTTGGAACTGAATAAATGTTCAACAGTACCTTAGCTGGCGAACATGTAGAACAACAAGGAGCAAATCCACTTAGTTCAAGCAACACAACTGACCAATATAAATATTACATTACCCCACTTCATTGGGTGTTCTTGCTTGACTCAAAGCTGATTCATGCTATACTCTGAATAATTTCTAAGAGCTAAGATGAACTCGGTAATAACGTTTTGCTCGGTATCTGTGTGTGTGTGTGGATCAGAGTATGTAGACCTGACCGGAGACCATCTCCATGTTTAATGGGATTGCAATAGTCTTGAAATACTTTCCTTCTTGGCTTGATCTTGCTCCTAAATGATTGCTCATCTATTTATTTGCTCAATTCTTTTGGTTGTTGACTATGTTAGTTTACATTTCTTCCACCCAATGATCATGGATTTTAGTACCTATTGGAGCTTTATTCTATGGTAACTGCACAAATACACCCCTTTTCTAGGGTGGAATCAAAAATTGCATATAGCAAGTCAATCTGTCTCAGAAATGAATAGGAATAGGAAAAGGACAAGCAATGACCAGTTGGTCCATCCAAACATAGTGCAGACTGTGTGCACTGTCAGTTCCTCTCCTTGCTAGTGCAAGTTCCACAAATGTGTAGTAACTGATGACTATCGGTATTGACCCATTTACCTTCAGTAATTCTGCTCGCTGTCAAAGGCCCGTAGTGAATTTACGCTAACCACATCTGTTAATCTATTTCTGATGGCACAAAAGTTTTTATTTTTGTTTAATAGTTTTCTTATCCTGGGCTGGTGGCTCCTGAGCACTCCTTTCCCATCTGTTTGACGCTAGTAGCACATTCGCCTGACTGTGAATATCTTTTACCATTTTAAGCCTAATCATAAACACCCTCAAGTGAGCAATAAGTGTTTAGATGTATTATGGTCTTTTCAGTGTTTATTTTTACTTTAATAGAGAAAATGAGATGAGATGAATTCATGTTTTGGATGGAGCTCAAGCAATGATGGAGGTTTACACCCAGATTTAGCCAATTTTCTGTTTTGCAATTGACACACATTCCCTCTCCAGCACTTCAGTTTTTTTTTTAAATCAAGGATAAACAGTTTTTGTTTGGTATTCTGTGTTTAACTTGAATTTTGTTGAAAAAGGAGTCATGTTTTCAAAAGTTTTTGTCATGCACTCGTCAGGATAAATGCAAAATTGCCAAATTCCAAATAATCATAAATTACAAGACAGGAGAAAAGGTGCTGGTTACCTTTTCGTGGCATTTAGTGGACTTCCCAACCAGCCAGCATCTTTTTTTTTTTTTTTCTCCTGCAACAGAACTGATTTTGATTATTTGAAATGCATTCTTGTATTTGTCCTAATGTGACACGAAACTTGGACAATGAATCTCTCTTTCCATCAGTACTCGAATTCTGTACTACCAAGCAACTGTTTGTGTTTTATTTTATAATACTACATGACTGAGTCCAAGTGGTTTTTTTTTGTGTGAAATAGAGGCACATATGTACGTAAAAGTGCAGTTTGCAAGTCCATTGTATAGCGCTACCACAGCAGCAAATGTTACCATATTACTTGAGTAATTGTCTGAAACCATACATTTCTTACTGAGAGTTAACCAGTTGTATTTTTCTCCTATCCTACCTGTTTTCAAGGCTAATAGTTTTACAGTCGCAAGTGTCAATGCTCCAGCCTGGCTCCATCGATTCATCATTGGGAAGAAAGGGCAGAATTTGAGTCGTATAACACAGCAAATGCCAAAGGTACAAGAAGCTCTGCTTCCCTATAATTTTGTGAATTTTGCAAGAATGTTGCCACTTTGGCTTTAAATATTTTACTGGGCCCTTTTTTTGTGCCTGGGTCTTTCTGATCTATTCCTGTCTCAGTCTCTTCTGCGCTGAGTCTCGATGCAGAAAGGGATTGCTGTCCTGTCTTGGCCCCTCTGCCCTATCACACAAAAGGGGTCATTGTTCTGCCCTCATGGTTTTTACTCTGCAGTGGGGAGTAGGGATCGGTGCTGAGTCCACTGTTTGTCATTTATGTAAACTATTTATTTGGATGAGAATATAGTAAGCATGGCTAGCAAGTTTGCAGATGACACCAAAATTGGTGGTATAGTGGAAAGTGAAGAAAGTTATCTCTGAGTACAATGGGATCCTGATCAGGTGGACCAGTGGGCTGAGGAATGGTAGATGTTGATTAATTTAGATAAATGTGACGTATTTTGTTAAGACAAACCAGGGCAGGACTTATACAGTTAATGGTGGGACCCTGCGGAGTGTTGTTGAACTGACAGACCTAGGGGTTCAGATACAAAGTTCCTTGAAAGTGGTATAGTAGGTAAACAGGGCAGTGAAGAAGGCATGCGTGCCCTCATTGGTCAGAGCTTTGGGTATAAGAGTTGGGACGTCATGTTGTGGCCTCACCAATGTTGTGTACACAGTCACGTTTGGAATACTGTATACAGTTCTGGTTGACCTAACATAGGAAGGATGTTACTAAATTGGAAAGAGTTTATAAAAGATGCACATGGATGTTACTGGTACTGGAGGGTTTGAGTTAGAAGGAAAGGTGGATAGGCTGGGAGTTTTTCCCTGAAGGTTGAGGGGTGACTTTACAGTGGTTTATAAAATCATGCGGGGTATGGATAGGGTGAATAGCCAAGGTCTTTTCCCCAGCGGAGGGGAGTCCAAAACTAGAGGGCCTAGGTTTAAAGTGAGAGGGGAAAGTTTTGAAAGGAATCTCAGTCAACTTTCTCAGAGGGCGGTGTGTCAATGGAATGAACTGCCAGAAGTTGTAGAGGGGAGTACAATTACAGCACTTGAAAGACATTTGGATACTTAGATAAATTGTAAAAGTTTTTAGAGGGAAATGGGCCAAACACAGGCAAATGAGACTAGTTTAGTTTGGGAAACCTGGTTGGCATGGGCAAGTTGGACCGAAGGCTCTGTTTCCATGTTCTGAGACTCTAATGTCCTGTCCTAACCACTCTGTTCTCATGCTGAGGGAGCTTGATGTTCTGTTCCTTGTATAGAGAAGGTTATTGTTTTCCTATGGTATCTGAAATGTGTTGAGTTATCTTTGGACCGTTTTAGGCTTTGTCCTGCTCTAAGCAGTGACTTTTTTTTTGTTTTGCTTTGAGTTTGTTCAATTGTCTGTTCACTGGCTTTCTCACCTGGCGTATGACATGCATTGCAACTCTTTAGTGCACTCTGGTACTTAAATACAAGTTTGTACTTCAGTTCTGATCTTGATGCAGGTATACATTGAATTCACTGATGGTGAGGATAAGATTTGTCTGGAAGGCCCAACCAAGGAAGTGAAACAAGTTCAGGAACAAATTGAAAGCGTTGTGCAGGATTTGGTGAGTATTACTTGAATCAATGAAATTTACTATCTCTTTCTAAGAGCAGGAAATTGGAGTGTTTTTAATCATTACTGGTTTTACACTTAGCCAAAAAAAATTGGTTGGTTTTATAAGCCAATGTTTCAGAGTATAATGTAACAGATGAAGAAGAGGAAGGCACAATGTGGCAGATTACCAAATATAAAATTAGAAACAATTGTTTGCTGCATATTATTCCACATCATGCCTGCATCTAAGGAATTCTGTACTTTGAACAGAAGAGCAGCCTAATAAACATAACACACTTTTTGAGGGAAATGAGTTTGAACTGCCCGAACCAAACCAGTCCCCAGTGGACACTAAATTCAGAACCGAAAAATAGGCATAATTGACTGCCTGAGTTGGTATTTTTTTCTGGATGTCAAGAATCACATGAATGGTACACGGAACTACAGGATGAGAGGCAGGGGTACTGATTTCAAGTCGGTGCTTAGAAATGCAAATCAATCATTCTGCAGGTTTTCATGAGCATGGGTCAGAACTCCAAAGTGACTTGTAATTCTAAACTGTGATTTCAAAAAAATTTTTTTTTTTCAATACTGATCCAGCAAAAATTAGCAATTGATGTAAATAAAGTAGCTGTCTGGAGAAAGAGGCCCACAATGTCACATTTTAAAAATACAAAGCCAGTTTGGAGACTGATGTATCTGGTTTTTTTACTTTTTGAACCTGCTGTTTTTCTAAAATGCATGTTGCACTACTAATTTGTCTTGAGGAGACTGAGTAATAAACTGACTTTTCTTGTTAACTCGAGAAAGCATGGTTCATTTGCACAAACAAAGGATGGGAACCATCTTTAAATTAACCTTGTTGTTACCAAGTGAGGGGTGGGTGAATACAGAAGGGGAACTAGCTCTTCCCTCCTCACCCCTCACCCAGAAGCTTAGCAATTTGGAGTATCACGTCTAGAACCATAACAAATTGGAGAACCTTACCCATGGTCTGGGCAAAGCAAAGTACGTGGTGGACCCATCAATATATGATGGGGAGGGGCAAAGGTTAACTATTTAGGTTAAAGGTTTTCCTGGCAGAGATGCTACCCTGATTAAAATGGATGAACTCACTTTATTCCTTCTAATGTCAGTCTGCTGTGTATGTCCAACATTAACCCTTTTTGTACGTTTTCTGTGATTCCACTTTGTGTTTTATGGCATATTTCTGTTTCACACTGTAAGCATACTTTCAAGTATGGTCAAGTGCTAGCTTTGTATTTTCTACTTAAAAGAAAAATAAATTCTTTTGTGAGATTGAGCACATGGTAAACTCTCTATTGCTGTGGTGCATAATAGATGGTTTGCAAGTTGTGTTGAGATATAATGTTCTATAATATTTTAATTACAGGTGAATCGTATGGATTACACTGAATTAACAGTTGATCCCAAGTTTCACCGTCACCTTATTGGGAAGAATGGAACAAATAGTAAGTGCTCAGATATGTATACAAAGATATATGAATATACTTTGCAGAGTTCTTTTGGGAAGTTGAAAGGGTAGATGGTAGGAGATAGGTGGCTGACCTGTTGCAACGGAGCTGAGATAAATATGTGGTTGACAGTAGCCTCAATTCACTCGTGCGGCATCTATTTGTGATGTACCAAAGTTTCATAGTACTCCTACATCAGAGCTTCCTGTACTGTGTGGGCTGAAATTTTTTGGAATGTGAGCTGTGAGACAGCAATGGCTTCCTTAGAGCTCGACTGAGTGTTGACAGGTTTGTGGCCCCCTTTTTTTTTTTCATACTGGCAGTTATTTTAATAGTGGGTGTAACCTAACTGGCTGATCCCTGAGGCCTAATTGCTGTCTTGCAAAATCCAGTGGAAAAGTGGATGGTTTTTGCTTAAACTGTTTAAACAGCCACATCACCACATTATTGTCTCAGATCTCCAAACATCTGGCCTCAGCTGTCACTGGTGTCTCTTGCTCCTCTTCTCCCACCCCGACCACCACTGTTCTCTTGAGCCAGGCAATTTTTAATCACCAACCTAAGGGCACAATAGGGAAATGTTTAGGAAACGCTGTCGTACGTGTTAAAGATGAGTTCCACTTTAACATCACTGTGATCTTTACTTGTGAGGACGTATAGGGCAAAGAGACATGGACAGGTTGTGTAACAGCTGGTGGTGTTCTGGAAATATGTAAAAGTAAGTGATCCAAAAAAGGATGGGGTTTGTTAGATTTTATGCTGTAGGTTCTGTTTGTGGGTAGTAATGTACGTGAAACACATACTGATCTTCTTTGTGTTCGTTTGCAATGGAAAGAAAAAAAAATGCAGACTTGACGTGGCACACTGGATAAGTATGAACTTGACATGTGGCAGTAGTTTTAAGGACTTGCATTGTGAACCAGAAGAATCTGATTTCAAATCCCAGTAGCACCTCTCGCACAGCTAAAAAGCTGGGCCCAATTAAAGGAGAATATTGCTTCAAAGCTATGGACTCTGACGAAAGAAATTGATTTATTCATTACAACATTGAGGTTTATCATAATTTTGAGTCCAAAATCTCATATTTTGATATTATCCAGGCAAGTATTGTAACAACTGTATCTTTTGTTTTAAATTCTTCTCTTCCAAGTAAATCGTATCAAGGATCAGTATAAAGTTTTAGTTCGCATCCCTCCTGATAACGAGAAGAGTAATCTAATTCGGATTGAAGGAGACCCTCAGGGAGTTCAAGATGCCAAGAAGGAACTGTTGGAACTTGCATCCAGAATGGTGAGCAGAGGACACTGAAAAGACATGGGTGTTGTTAAAATGGAGGTATTTTCTAATCAACCTGTTCAGAGATGCTACTACCCATCTCAGGCACAGGTGGGATTTGAACCTGGGGTTCCTGGCTGAAAGGTAGGAGCAACACCACAAGAGCCCTTCGCTGTTAAAAGCAAGTAAATTGCTTCAATCTCGCGATGGCTGCAAGTTATAATCCCAATGTGTTTGACAGCAGTGCTGCTGTGGTTTAATTGTCCATGCAGAGATTTCTATGTACACTGCCCTTACAGCTATGGAGTGTCAACTTCTTTGGCTTGGTGTCATTGGGCTTTGATCATATTTTGAGAAATGCCTTGTTTTACCTACATAAGGTGTTACATAAATGTATGTCGTTAATTGAAACCTCCTCCTCCTATTTGAATGCATTCAAGAGTGACTTGGTAACTGGGACTAAAACCCTGGGTGGTTTCCTGGTCACAAATGCAAAGGAGCTGAGACCAATTAACATTCTCATTTCAGACTTGGCTAAGAACTACTGACTCAACAACAACTATGGATCAAATTCTTTAGACTTTTTGGTCTGTCTGATTTAACATAACACCATGTGGTACTTTGACCCAGTAGAAGAATTTTGTGATCTTTCCAGTGAGAGTTCAAGTATTGCCTACAAGGCTGTAATGAGTTGAGAATGATCACCACATGAGAACTGCTAGCTTGAAAGTAGTTTGCTGACCTTTTTATGTTTAGAGTCAGGAGTTCCTTTCGGGATGAGAATTTTTTTTTCTTCTTAGCTCACAATGTTGCCATTCACGGCTTTCGCGTCAATGCAGTTTAGATATTAAAGTTGGTTCTGCTTTGGACAGCCCATGTGTTTCAATGTAAGGCTGTCGCTACAATGCTGTGTAAAAACTGAAAGAATTGTGGTTGCAGTAAATCGGGAGCAATAACAGAAGTTGCTGGAAAAGCTCAGCAGGTCTGGCAGCATCTGTGAAGAAAAAAATCAGAATTAACGTTTCGGAATTAACTCTTCCTCACCGGACCCGAAACATTAACTCTGATTTTTTTCTTCACAGATGCTGCCAGACCTGCTGAGCTTTTCCAGAAACTTCTGTTATTGTTACTGCAATGCTGTGCTTCTGTTAAGGGCTCCTAGAATTGTCAAGTCTAGGAATACTATTTTATTTTGTCCCGGTGGGATATCAACTGTATATCCATGTTAAGACTTCAGCAAACTCAACACAAACCAGTATTAAAGTTAAGGACCTCCTAATATTACAGTATCACGTGATTGGGTAAACTCTTCTGTTATTGAGAGAACAGTTAAAGACATTGACTGATTTTATAGACTGTCCTTCCTGATAAAAAGCATGTCTCTGAATCACAGGAAAATGAACGCTCCAAGGATTTGATAATCGAACATCGTTTTCATCGTACAATCATTGGCCAGAAGGGGGAGAAGGTTAAGGAAATCCGTGACAAGTTCCCTGAGGTAAACAGTGCGAGGAGTTGTGAATTTTACTGCCATATTTTTCTCCTCTAATTTTGTTGGATTTCTGTCAAATTGAATGTGTGTATCTCACCACAATTTAGGTTGTTATTAATTTCCCGGATCCTAGTCAAAAGAGTGACATAGTGCAGCTCCGTGGCCCCAAAAATGAGGTGGAAAAATGTGCAAAGTTCCTGCAGAAAATTGTGGCGGAACTGGTAAGTTATGGTGCCAAACAGGAAAGTATGTCTGGAAAGTCAGTTCAGCAGACCAAGAGCGGAAAGAATGGCCTTGGCCATAAACAAGCAAATGTAAAGCAAGATCTGCACAGTGCTGGTTGTTAAGCATGTCAGGTATTTAATGTCACTTGTGCAATGATCCAATAGTAGCAGAATGTGTTTTTGTAATTTTGTTTAATTCTTGAGATGAATGTCACTGTCACTGTCATGACCAGCGTTTACTGACCCTCCCTAAATTATCCTTGAGAATCTGTGATGGTGAGTCACTTTCTTGAACTTTTGCATTCCATCTAATGTTGGTACAGCCATTGTGCTGTTGATGAGGAAGTTCCAGAACTTTGACCCATGATGCTAAAAGCAAAGTATTTAAAATCTTTGTGACCTCTTGCCAGCACATTTAATAATGTGTGAATGCTGGCATATATGGATACTGTAGGAAAACAAGTACAGACCTGACATTGATTAAATGACCTTTGCAATGTAGTAGGAAACTTACTACATGGTAGAAGATGGTGTTTGCAGGTACCATCTGGGGCTCTCAAACTTTTATTCTTTTAGAAGGAGGTCGAATGTATCAGTTGGGATGTACATATTCTTCATGGTCAAAGTATTGGCTTTAGTGTGTAGTCACTTCACTGATGTTGCTGTTAATTGTCGCGTCCCTTACATTTAGGTGGAGAATAGCTATTCAGTCTCTGTACCCATCTTCAAACAGTTTCACAAAAATATCATTGGAAAAGGAGGAGCAAATATTAAGAAGGTATGTGTACATGTTATGTGGTAACCCTTTTACAAGAAAGAAGCGGGTCAAGTCCGAGAGAGCAAGGTAATTAGCGAAAGTCTGAGTTTATCTTGGGACATTGTTTGATTTCAACGTAAGGAAGAGCATTCACTGGGCTATGTGCAGCAGTGTATAGAAGTAAATAAAGTAGTTTGTTTTCTAATGGAATTATAGATTCTGTGGTTTTCCTTTTAAGACCAGTGGTGAGAAAATTAATTTTAATTAACTGAATGGATAGGGTAGTGCTGTAAAAGTCCTTCATGAAACCACACGATAGATGAATGGGTTTTGTTTGGAGTCTGACTTTTGCATCGTTCTCCATCAAACTAATATGAACTTGAGGGAATTATAGACTTCCTCAGGAACCTTTTTTATAGAAAACATTGCCTATAATGCAATTGCAGTATTAAACTGACATCCCTGACCTCTAAGGTTGCTATCAGTTCCTGAGGACCATATCAGTACAGGTCAGAAGCCAGAACACTTAAACAGTGAACAACTTTTTTTCTTTGCCTGATCTGCCAGTCTTAATTTATATTGGTAGCATTTGATATGACTGTGAGAACACAACACCAAAAACTGTTGTCTCACTTTCTTAACTGTCAGGTTTTTCTGTTACTAGTAAGGTTTGTGTTGAATTTTACTGCTGCCAGATCAAAGTTTATAACCTTGGGTGCAGTCGATGCTAATCTATGTAGTCAATCTATGTATCAGTGCAAATCCAAAATATCTGCACTGGCGAGTTCTTTCAGTGAAACAAAACTAAATGCTTGCCCAATTGAGAAAAGACCTTGGCTATTCACCTTATCCGTGCCCCTCATCATTTTTTTTTAAACTTCCATAAGGTCACCCCTCAGCCTCCAACACTCCAGGGAAAATACCCCCAGCCTATTCAGCCTCTCCCTGTAGCTTAAACCATCCAACTCTGGCAACACCCTTGTAAGTATTTTCTGCACCCTTGTAAGTTTCATAATACCTTTTCTATAGCAGGGAGACCAGAATTGAACGCAGTATTCCAAAAGTGAACTAACCAATGTCTTGCACAGCCACAACATGACCTCCCAACACCTATACTCCATGCACTGACCAATAAAGGATGCTATGTTCTATAATTCCTGTTCCTTTTCCCCTCATTTCTATCTTTACCTAGTCTGTTTTAAATGGATGACTCTTGATTTTAAAATTTGTGTTCCCAGCTCAAGATTCTTTATCTGTCATTAGAGGAAACGTCCTCTCCATTATCTACCCTAGTTTCCTAGAACAATTCTTTGGTGATCCAAACAGGGGTCAGCTATTTTGGATATGCTAATGTGTAGTGAGGTGAGCTTAATACATTATTTGAGGAAGAGGTTCTCCTTGGGGAACAGAGACCATAACATAAAATTCAGCATTCTGTTTCACAAGCGAGAAACTTGAATCAGAAACAACTGTGTTAAAATTCAGTAAGGAAATACGAAGGAATGAGGGCCGAGTTAGCTACAGTGTACTGGGAAAGGAGTTTAGCAGAAAATATGGTTGAGGAGCAAGGCAGACATTTAAGAAAATAGGTCATGACTCTCAAGGAGGATTCTAGCAAGGGTGTAAACATCCAGTGGATTAACCATGGAAGTTGATGATCACCTCAAATCGAAAGAAGGAGTACAATGGTGAAGATTTAGTGATTAAACCAGAAGATAGTTTTAGAACTTTCCCTGACAAAATATGACCAATTATCAGGGAGAGAAAATAATGGAGGGTAAATAAGCAGATAATATCAAAATGGATAGTAAGAGCTTATCTGACTATATTAAAAGTAGGAGAGACCAAAGTTAACAAAAGCCTCTTAGAGAATAAAGCTCAGGAAAGAATAATATGGAACCAGAAAATGGAAGAGGAGTTGAATAAATATTTTTTGGTACAATAGCAAATAGTGTTCCAAAAGTACTAAATAATTGAGGGTCCAAAGGAGCAGTAGAAATAAACACTATCGACAGAGGAAAAAGTATTAAGGACTGTATCAGGGCTAAAGATCAGCAAGTACCCTGGACCTGATAGGTTAATCCTAGCTTATTAAAGGAAATAGCCACAGAGATATTGATTACACTGCTAGAAATCTTCCATGAATCATTTTATGTTCTGGCAGTTTTATAATCCTGTGGGACTTTTCTAATGTAATACCCTCATTACAGACCAATTAGCTTAACATCTGTTATTGGGGAAAATTGTTAATGTCTGCAATGGCAGAACATTTAGAAACACAAGAGTCACCTGCCCTTCATGAAGGGCAGAGGTGAACTAGTAGTATAATTTTTCTGGAGTGCCAAACATTATTTGATTAAAGTGTCACATGTAAGGCTAATTAATATGCTAAGAGCCCATTGTGAGGGTAGTGTATAGATACAGAGGATTTGCTAATTGATGGAAGACAGTTGGAATTAATGAAAGCATTTTTAGATGGCAGCTTGTATCTAGGAGAATACCACAGACCTCGGTGCTATACCACAATTATTTATGACCTACCGACCACTTGGATAACAGAATCAAATTCACAAAAACCAAGTTTGTGGATGAGTCGATGGGTGAGAAGGCAAGCAGTGAGGATGACAGTTTGCAGAAGGGGGATATTGTCAGGTTGTGAGTGGGCGCAATCTTGGCAAATGGAATATCGTGGAAAATGTGAGGTTTTGCTCTTTTTCAGAAAGAATAGAAGAGCTGAATATTATTTAGATACTGTAAAAAGCTGCAGGAAAGGGTGATTTAGGGGTCCATGTGCCTAAATTGGAGAGAACATCCAGGTTCAGTAGGTACTGGAAAGGCAAATGGAATGTTGAGCTTTATTTCAGAGTTTGGAATGTAAACATAGGAAAGTCTTTAAGTCTCTACAAAACATTGATTAAACCATTCCTAAAATACTGTGAACGGTTTTGGTTCCCTTTGCCATCGTATTTTTCCTCAGGTATTGGAGACAGTCTAGTGAACCTTCTCTGGAATGATCCTGAATAAGTAGGGACTGTCTTGAGGAGGTTGTGTAGGTTAGGCCTGGAGTTTGGAAGAATGAGGGGTGACCTTGTTGAAACACACAGGATTCTTTAGGCAGCTGTGAGGGAAAATGTTGTTTTCTCTTGTGGAAGACTCCAAGACTAGAGAGCAAAATATCAGAGTAAGGGATCACCCATTTCAGACAGACAGAGGCTGTTTTCTTTTGAGGGTAGTGAACCTGTAGAATTCTTTACTGCAGAGGACTGTGAAGTCTGGGTCATTAAGTTTATTCAAGGCTGAGCTAGACAAATTTTTAATTGGCAAGCAAATTGAGGATAATGGGTGAAAAGGCAGGAAAGCAGAATTGAGGATGATCAGATCAGCCATGGTCACATTGAATGGCGGGACAGACTTGATGGGCTGAATGGCCTGCTTCAGCTATTACATGTTCTGGTAATAGGGACCCTTCCAGGATTTTGAATCAATCCATCACCTCTTGCTCTTCTAGATTGCAGCGGAAACAAGCCTAACGTTCCCTCATAAGAGAACTTGCCCGTTCCAAGTAGTCAAATGAACCTTGTCAGAAGTGCCTCCAATGCATCTACCATCTTCCTTAAATAAGGTGGCTGATATTTTGTACAGTCTGCAGATGCAATCTCAACAATACCTTGTATAACTAAAACATAACCTTTGACTGTTTTTGTATTCAGTTCCTCTCCCAATAAATGATGAATTCTATTAACTTTCCTAATTATTTGCTATACCCATGTTCTGTCTTTAGCGATTCATGCGCAAGGACATATTGATCCCTCTGCGTTCCAGTAGTGTCTCACTATTTAGATAATACACTTGAATTTTATTCTTCCTGCCAAATTCGACAATTTCACAATTCTCCACAATATATTCCATTTGGCCATATCTTTGCCCACTCACTTAACCACTCTATCTTTCTCACCTCCTCGTGTCCTTTTCACAATTTACTTTTCTATCTTGGTGTTGTTAACAAATTTGGCAACTGTGCCTACTGTCACTTCATCCATGTTGAAGTAATTTCCCAATTACTTGACTCCATAATGCAAAAAAACCAATCTATGATGGGTTAATGTTGGGTAATCTAGTAAAGAGGGACTTGCTTAATAGGACATGATGCATTCCATCTATCCACTAATCCAGAGGAATAAACAGTTCTGTATTCATCCTACACTTACGTTATTGAGAGTTGGTGACTGCTTTTTGCAATTTGAGGAAGCATGTTTCCTCTTTTTGGGATTAAGGGTTTGTGACTCAATTTGTCTGCTTTCCTAGCTCTTTTTTTTTAGAAAATTTGGTCAAAGGCCTGTTGACTATTTGTAATTTGTCTCCTGAGTTCTGAGCACAAATGGAGAAGACCAGATTCAAATAAGACACCTAGTTATAAATAACTTTAGCCACCTTTTAAAAGAAATTAATCTGATGCCGAGTGAGTCATTGACTAGACATTTACTGTTTGGATGGTCATAATTCAATCCTTTTTCCAGAGTATTCTTGCCAACCCTGTTGTTTCTAGTGAGAAATGTTTTTTATGCTCCCATGACAACAGCTGTCAGTCTTGGCTTCCACTGATCAGTGGGCAAGACTAAAAAGACTCCTGAAGTCTAAGAAATTTGCTGATTGTTTTTTCAATTCTTTCTAGATCCGTGAAGAAACTAATACAAAGATTGATTTGCCAGCAGAAAACAGCAATTCTGAAATGATCATTATTACAGGAAAGAAATCCAATTGTGAAGTGGCTCGCAGCAGGATCCTGGCCATCCAGAAGGAATTGGTATGAACTGCTTTCGGCTAGTTTACGATGCAGTAGTTTGGCTTTTCTAAGGTGGGGGGAGTTCAAAACCATTTTTATCTGACGTGGGCACAATTATGACGTTTAAAAGACATTGGATAAGTACTTGAATAGGAAAGGTTTGGAGGGATATGGGCCAAACACAGGCAGGTGGGAGGGAATAGCTTAGTTTGGGATTTTGTTCACCATGGACTGATTGGACCAAAGGGTCTGTTTCCGTGCTCTGACTATTAGAGATTTTAATGAATTTCCACTCCCATCTCCCTTCATTACACTGTACAACCAAGTGCTTAAGCTGTGTAAACCCTGCAGAGAAATTTTAAGACTAGTCCAAGACAACATGCAATCCTGAAAGCAAACTAAATATAAAACTTGTAGTGGGCTGAGGGATATTGTTGAAAAGTTTGAGAACAGGCGGCGTTGTCTCCTTCTGTCCCAACATTTTGAGAGCAGGTTTTTTTTTTGTACAAGAGAATTGATTAGTTGATTGAAGCAGAAGCTTACTGTTTCCACACTTGCCACCCATGCAATATTCCAAAGGAAAATCACAAGTTAATCTGAGGATTTGGAGGACAGGAGCTGAGTTGTGACTGGCGTTTTAGGACACTGAAGTTTCTCCTTTTGCCTTGTATTAGGGAATGATACAGTCCTCGTAACTGCAAAATTAAAAATGTACTTTATTGATAACTGCCACACTGAGTTGCTCATCTGACAGTGGCTGGGTGGAACAGAAGAATCTTGTGATGTTTTTGTTTACCTCCCACTCCGAATCTTTGTTTGATACAAGTCACGCAGAGGTTGAAGAGATAGTAGGAACTGCAGATGCTGGAGAATCTGAGACAACAAGGTGTAGAGCTGGATGAACACAGCAGGCCAAGCAGCAGAGGAGCAGAAAGCTGACGTTTCTAGGCCCGAAACGTCAGCTTTCCTGCTCGGCCTGCTGTGTTCATCCAGCTGTACTCCTAATGCAGAGGTTGAATTGGATTTGATGGATCAACATAAGAAGCAGGAGTTAAATTGACTTTGAGTTCTTGAAGTAATGGAGAGGTGTATCTGGTAGCTGTGATATATGGGTATTTCCAAAATGTAACTTTAGAGTTTGCTAGCAAAGTTGAAGCCCATGGAATGAAAGGGACAGTGGCAGCATGGATACAAAGTTGGCTGAGTGATAGGAAACAGAAATGATGAATGGTTGTTTGTCTGAAGTAAGTTGTATACTGGGTTCCCTGATGTCAATACCAACCCTGCCAGTTTTCTTGATTTAATATATTAATGGCTGAGACTTGAGTATGCAGGGAACAATTTCAAAATGTGCAAATGGCACAACTTGGAAGCATTGTGACCTGCAAGGAAGATGGCATTGAGTTTCTAGAGATTTGATAGTTCAAAGTCCTGAGTTATTCAGACATCATAGATGGAGAAAGGTTGCTTCCAGCAACATAAGGAAAAACCTCTTTGCAGCAAGTGGTTCTGAACTGGAATGTGGTGCATGAGAACGGTGAAGCCAACTCCCATCTTTGTTTACAAGAATGATAACTTATGAAGTCCAAGTATGAGGAAAGATTATACAAATTTGGCCTGTTTTCTCAAATTTTAGAAGGATAAAGGATGATCTAATAAAAGTCTTGAAGATACTAACAAGAAAAGACAGGGTAGATAAATATAAACTATTTCCACTGTTAGGGATTCTAGAACTAAGGGGCATTGTCTGAGAATTAGGGCCAGACTGTTTTTGAGAGACGCCAGGAAGCACTTCTACACTCAAAAAAACATGGCAGATATTTGGAAGTCTCAAATGGCAACGGAAGCAGGATCAATTGTTAACTTTAAAATTGAGATGTTCCAAAAGGAAATGGGTAGGCACCCAAAGAGAATAAAAACTGCAGGGCTACAGAGAATTGGGATGAATGAAATGACTCTTGCAGAAAGCTGGCAGGTGCTGAACTGGGTCCTACGCTTATAACTGTTGTAATCCTAAGAATAGTCGTCCTTTTTTTGCCTGTTCTTCCATTCAACAAGATCCTGGTTAGTCATCTCCCACCACCCACACACACGCAGACACGCCTCGTGATTCATTTATTTCCCAAATATCTGATGTCTGTGTGGAACCTGCTTTACGTGAGCATCCATCATTCGTGGGATAGAGCATTCCACAGAATCACAAACCTTTTGACTGAAAAATTTAACTTCAGTTGTACAAACATATGTACAAATCAGGAGTGGGAGAAGGCCACTTGGTCCTTCACATCTGCTCCGTAACAGGTTGTGGCTGATCTGATTAGTCCACAGTACTGTCTATCCCAATAATCTTTCACCACCTTTCTTGTTTAAAAACCTAATTACCCCTGCCTAAACAATATTCAAAGACTTGTTCCAAATAACAGCCTTAAATGGGAGTACCCTTATTCTGAGATTGAATCCATGCTATATTTTCTCCAGCCAGGGAAAACATCAACGACCATTCTATTAAAGATAACAAGGTGTAGAGCTGGATGAATACAGCAGGCCAAGCAGAAATCTGAAAACTCTGAAGAAGGGTCCAGACCTGAAACGTCAGCTTTCCTGCTCCTCTGCTGCTTGGCCTGCTGTGTTCATCCAGCTCTACACCTTGTTATCTCAGATTCTCCAGCATCTGCAGTTCCTACTATCTCTGCACTGTTCTATTAAGTTAGGGGAGCAAAAGGTTCCCAAAAAATCCCATGGATGTCTGGACAGGGAATCCGATTTAATTCAAATCTGCACTGATGATAACTAAGCTGTTTTAGACACTTCCACTCCCCAGTGTTGATGTCTCTTAGTCTTTTAACGAGCAAAAGATACTTTGTTTTTTTTCCCACTCCAGGCAAACATCACGGAAGTTGAAGTTTGCATTCCTGCTAAACTCCACAATTCTCTGATTGGCGCAAAGGGTCGCTTTGTCCGTTCCATCATGGAGGAGTGTGGAGGGGTGCACATCCACTTCCCTACTGAAGGGTCAGGCAGCGACACAGTCACCATCAGGGGACCTGTTGAAGAGGTTGACAAGGCCAAGAAGCAGCTCCTCCATTTGGCTGAAGAAAAGGTATCATGTTGCTAGAAAAACAGGAAATGCTGGACATGCTTAGCAGGTCATGCAGGATCATAGAAAACTGATCCATAAAGAAAGAAACCAAGTTAAAATTGCATTTCAAAACTTTTTCACCAGGACACACTAAATGCGTTTCAGTTTCCAGCATTTTCTGTTTTAATTTCAGATGTTCACCATTGCTATTGCACCTTTTTTATATTGTTTGTTTGAGTATGAGTACTATTATACTGTGTTGGACATGATTCTTTCTAGAATATGCTTGAGTTGCCCATCTTGGGTGTAATTAGAGAGGAGAGATATCTGGAAGAAATGCTAGTGAAATACTCTGAAATATTATTAAGCTCCTTCCTGTGGCTATTATCTGTCAGGTATGACTAAGTGAATGCTGCACTATTCCCTGAGTCAGGGAGTTGTGGGTTCAAGATGTACACCACAGGTTTGTGAGCTCATGATTCGGGCTGACACTAGAGTGCAGTGCGACAGTCTCGCCATGCTATGGGCGTTGCTGTCCCTCAGATGAGACGTTAAACAAGGGTTCTATTATTCCTCTGATGGACCTGAAGAATATCATAATATTATTGTAAGAAGGGTACTATTAAGCTGGAGAGAGGTCGGAAGACATTCACCAGAATGTTGCCTGGAATGGAAGATTTGAGTTATAAGGAGAAGCTCAATAGACTGGGACTTTGGTGTCTGGAATGAACTGGCAGGGGAAGTGGTGGCTGTGGGTACAGTTACAACATTTTAAGAGACATTTGGAGAAGTACATGAATAAGACCTGTTTGGAGGGATATGAGCCGAACACAGGCAGGTAGGTCTAGGTTAGTTTGGGATTATGGTCAGCATGGACTGGTTGGACCGAAGGGTCTGTTTCCGTGCTGTATGACTCCATTTTTTTCCTCTGTTATAGTTAATATTTAACCCATGACCAGCACTTGACACCTAAAATATGTGTGATCTGATCAATCTCTCATTATTTTGAAACTTTGTGCGTAAGTGTCAGACCACGTTTCCTCTGTGGTATTACTGTCCTCAAAATTAATTAATTGTGTGTAAAGAATTTAGGCTTGCCTTGAGATAGCAACTGACACTGGATAAACACAGACTGGTCTGTTTTTCTTTTCTTATGATTTAAGTATAGACTTGGTTCATGTCATTTTGCCTATGATTTGCTTAGAAAGGGTATAGACCAACAAATAAATAATCCACATTACACTGTATTGGTATAGGACATTTGAAACAAAGAAATGCTGACTTTGTTCGGAAAAGTGAACACGTAGGTTAGACAGTTACCATTTCTGGCAGTTACCATTCGGAACAGCACCACCTCCATTTCGGCCGTACCAGTTGAATGACAAACACTCCATGCTGTAACTTGCATATCATAAAATCCCAACAAGTCTACACTGACCCTCAGAGCATCCCACCCAGACCTATTTCCCCCAGAACCCACTTAATTTACACATCCCTAAACACTGTGTGGGCAATTTAGCATGGCCAATCCACCTAACCTGCACATCTTTGGACTGTGGGAGGAAACCAGAGCACCCGGAGGAAACCCACCCAGACATGGGGAGAATGTGCAAACTCCACACAGACAGTCGCCCAAGGGTGGAATTGAATCCGGGTTCCTGGCGCTGTGAGGCAGCGCGCTAATCACTGAGCCACCATGCTGTCCCTGAATATGATTGGTGAATAATTTGCTTATCTTTTTTATGGAGTGATGGAACTCTTGAGATTTTGTGGAGTATCTGATTTTAAAATAAAAACGCTGACCCTCAAGTAAAATCCTAATATACATGTGAACCAGGAGCAGTGCAGACCACTGAAGCCTGTTCAGCCATTCAGTAATATTTTGGCTGATCTGATTATTCTGCATTCGGATCTACTTCTCACCTTTCGCCCTTTGCTTGTCAAGAATCTATCAACCTCTGGCTTATAAATATTCAAAGGTTCTGCTTCCACTGAGGTTTTTGAGGAAAAGAGTTATGATTCTGAGAAAAATGTCATCTTATCTCTGTCTTAAATGAGCATTCTGTTGTGTTCAAATAGTGACACCTAGTTCTAGATTCTTCCATTAGCGAATACATCCATTCTGCATTCTCTCTGATCAAAATCTGTCATGATCGTGTTTCAGTCGTCACCTCTTGGTCTCCTAGACTTCATTGGATACAAGCCTAGTTGACACAACCTTTTTCCTCAAAAGGTAACCCACCCATTACAGGCATTCGTGTAGTAAACCTCTGTGAACTACTACTAATACATTCACATCCTTCCTTAAATAAGAGGCCCAATACTATACAGAACTCCACGTGTAGTCTCACCATTGTTTCAAAGCATAATCTCCTCACTTTTTTGAATTCAACAACTTTTCAATGAATGATAACATTATTAAATGACATGCTTTTAGCTTTCCCAATTAGTTACTGTACTTGCAAGTTAACATTTTGCATTTGTGAAACTCCAATCCTGCTGCATCAAAGAGCTCTACAGTCTCTTCCCCTCTTGGATAACTTTTTAAAAATTTCTTCCTGCCAAAATTGACAATTTCACAATTTTTTTTTTTACTTGATTTTTCAGATCTTTCCCCACTCACTCAACCTACCTAATCTTTTTGTAACCTCTTGATGTCCTCTTCACAACTTATTTTCTTATCAATCTTTGTGTCATCATCAGTAAACTTACCATGCCTTTTGACCCTTCATTCATTTGTATAAATTGTAGAAAATTGAGGCCTCAGGATTGATCTTTGTTATATCTTGTTGACTTGGAAATGACTCATTTATTCTTGCTGTTTCCTGTTGGTTATGCAATCATCTCTTTATGCTGAACTTTTAGCCCCTTTATGAGGAACTTTTTTTCAGTAACTTAGATTTACAATCAGGTGAAACAGCAAAGTGCAGTCTATCCACCAATTCCCCTTTATCCATAGTGCATGTTACTTCCTCAAAGCAATCCAATGAATTATTTTGTGCAAAGGGAATCCTGTTTTAGGGTCCCGACCCGAAACACCAGCTGTCCTGCTGTGTTCCTCCAGCTCCACACTATTATCTCAGACCCCAGCATCGGCAGTTCTTACTATCTCCTGTTTTATCAATGTAATTTCTGCCTGATCAGCTTGAATTTATCTAAGTGTTCTGTTATGACTTCTTTAATAATGGTATCTAACATCTCCCTAATGTTGTACGTTAAGCCATCTGACCAGTAGGTTCCTGTCCTCTATTTTAAGAGGTAAGATTAGCTATTTTTTAATATTCTGGTACCTAGCCTGAATCTATAAAATTTTAAGACCAGCAAATCAACCATTTCATTAACCACATTTAAGACCTAGAATAAAGTTCATCAGGATCTGGGGATTTGTCAACCTGTAGCTTCAGCAGTTTGCTCAGTGCCATTTACATGGTGATTGCAATTTTCTTGTTCCTCCCTCTCTTCCATCTCCTTATTTACAGCTATTTCTCAAATGTACTTGTGTTCTCTATAGTGAAAACTGATGCAAAGTACCTGGTCAATCCATCCGTTAACTCCTTAGTTATTAATTTGCTAGAATTGCTTTCTCTGGGACTGATGTTCTCTTTAAATATCTACATAAAAACATATAGCATGAGAGTTTGTACCTGTCTAATTTCACCTCATGGTATTTATCTTCCTCCGTATTAAACTTTTTAGTGATTCTTTGCTGTTCTGTAGTTCAGCCCCATGTTTATGCACTTATGCTTTTTCTTTCAGTTTGACACTATCTTTTAACATTTCTGATTAAGCACATAGTGGCTCCTCTTGGAATTTTTCTTTCTCATTGGTATGTGCCTATCCTGCATATTCTGAAATTTCCCTTAAATGTCTGCCACTGTATCTCAATTGCTGTTCCCTTGTCCTAATTTGCCAGTCCACTTTGGCTATCTCTGCTTCCGTGCCTTCATAATTGCCTTGAAGTTTAAGTTTAATTTACTAGTCTTGAATACATTTCTCTCCTTCCAAGCTGAATGTAAAATTTCATTATGATCTTGATTGAAAACAAAAGGACTTTCACAGTGGAAGTATTCTTGCCTTACTTTAGCAACTTAATTTCTCATCACTGCCCTGGGAAGATTATCTTGGCATGTAAAATCAATTTGGGTGGCCATAAGAAACACCAAAGGAAAGAAGTCACTGTTAGGAGTGGCTTATAGCCCTCTAAAATAAGCTACACTCTATAGTAGCAATCAAGAATTGTTTGAAGGTCTGTAAGATGCTGTTCTAATTGTGGACATTTTAATCAGCTTGTAAAATATGGAGGTAGCTTTTAAGGAAGAGTTTATAAAATGTATTCAGGGCAATTTCACCGAACAGTGCATGCTGGAACCAATCAAAAGGCCATTTTTGATTTGGAAATGTAAAATGAAACAGGACTAGGGCAATTACAAAGCTATGGAGAGGTAGTTGGCTGAAATAGACTGTGGAAAAACGATTTAACAGTGAGATGATAGATAAGTAATAGCAAATAGCTGAAATATTTCATACCTCTCAACCAAGATGCTTCCCATTGAGAGAGATCCTACACAAGGGATGAAATATCCATCAGCAATTTAAGTAGTAAGGATTGTATCAAATTGAAAGAAAAGATGCACAATTCTACAAGTTTGTGGTAGGCAAGACCATTGGGAAAATACTAATACCTACAAAAGACGATGACTTAAAAAGTGAGGATGCAATTGGAATATGAAACTTGCAAGAAATCTAAATGGACAGTAACAGCTTCCCCAAGAAGATAAATTGAATAGAGTAATTAAATATTTATTCTGTATAGATGGAAGCTGTGGAATTAAAAATGGGAAGGAAAGAAAGAAATGGTAGAGACTTTGAATTAGCATTTTTGTCTTTTTTAATGTCCTCTAAAAGCATCCTAAGAATAGTTTTAAAAAAACAATTAAGGGGTATAGGGAGGAAGGAGTTTAAGACAAAACACTAGAGAATAAAGTATTGGAAAACGAATGGGACCAAAGGCTCATACATCACCTGTGTCTGGTAACCTACATACAATTGTCTTAAAATACCATGGTTGCATTGGATATCAACTTCCAAAATTCCTTAGATTCTGGATATATTAAGTGGATTGGCAATTCAAAGATGTAATCCCTATTTAAGCAAGGAGGGAGCCAAAACAGGAGACTACATGGCATTTTGCCTAGAATATCTTTGGGCTCGTTGGAATTCATTGTTTGCAAGACATTTAGAAATTCGTAATTGAATCAAGCAGATTTAACGTGCTTTAATCAAAGGGTATTCCAGTTAACCCTGAGTTTAGAAGAACAAAAGATGATTTTAATTATGCATAAGATTATGGGATTTTCTTTTAAACAGGGTACTGAGATTGACTGGGAGCATGTTTTCCCCTCTTGATCTGAAACTGGGGGAAGAGAGGATACAGTTTCAGAATAAAGGGATCTCAGTTAGAACAGAGGAGAGGAGAAATTTCTTGGGTTTTTTAATCTTTGGAATTTCTACCTACAGAGAGCATTGGAGTCATTGAATATATTTAAGATGGAGTTAAGTTTTCAATCTGTAAAGGTTATGAAACCCAGGCAGGAAAGTGAAGTCAAAGCCACTATCATAAGGCTCAACAATTAAAGCTTAAAGGAATAGAGGAAATTGATAGTGAGGAGGATGGTCTCGGCTACAGTCTGATCTTGATCATCTGGTAAATTGGACAGCGCAATGGTGGATGGAATTTAATCTTGATACGTGCGAGGTGATGCAGTTTGGGAGGTATAATAAGGGAAGGATTTACACAATGGTAGGCCCCTAAGGAGTACCGATCACCATGAAGGTGTCACTACAGTATATAGGGTGGTGAAGAAGGCGTATAGGATGCTTTCCTTCATTGGCTGGGGCGTAGATATAGGAGCAAGGAAGTCTGTCACAGCTTTGATTCAGCCACGGATAGAATAATGTTAATAATGTGTGCAGTTCTAGTCACCACACTATCCGAAGGACACGATTGCACTGGAGAGAGTGCAGAGGAGATTCACCAGGGTATTTCATGGGATGAAAAGCCTCAGTTATGAGGAGAGACTAGGTAGATTGAGTTCGGTTTTTCTTTAGCCCAGAAGAGGCTGAGGGGGAATTTGATTGGGGTGTACAACATTTATGAGAAGCATATACAGGGTAAAACATGAAAATATCTTCCCCATAGCAGATGTCTCGGACCAAAGGGCATAAGTTTAAGGTGAGGAGTAAGTGGTTAGAGAAGATCTGAGGAAAGACTTTTTTTTCCACCCAGAGGGTGGTAGATATGTGGAAAGTGAGAGGGTGGTGGAGGCTATACTCTCAACATTTAGGAAGCATCTGGATGACCACTTAAAATGCCAGGGAATGATTAGCTACTAACCAAGTGCAAGTAAATGGGATTAATGTAGTTTGGTGTTTCTTGGTCACCATAGCCATGGAGGGCTGAAGAGCCTGTTTCTATGCTGTATGATTCTGTGACCCTCTGAGAAAGGTGTACTGGGAATAGAAACATGACATTTTATTAGTACTGTGTAAAGGATGCAATTTTCCAGAGTTGAATTCAACTGTTCTGTGGTGAAGCCGTACCCAGTGAATCATCTTATCTACTTTTTGGATATGAATTATTCTTCGTTCTCAGGTTTGACAGATTTTTAGATTGGCTCTTCTTTCATGTGACAGCAACCTGTTAAAAGCAAAACAGTCAATTTGCTGAAGAATGTGCATATCTTTATACAGCAAATCAAGAACTATACCAGTGAACTGCGCGCCAAACCAGAGTATCACAAGTTCCTCATTGGACGTGGTGGTGCCAACATCCGCAAAGTGCGGGACAATACGGGAGCCCGGATAATTTTCCCTACTGCAGACGACAAGGATCAAGAGCTGATCACCATTGTAGGTACGGAGGAAGCTGTCAAAGAAGCTCAGAAAGAACTGGAACTCCTCATTAGCAACCTGGTAAGATTGCTTTGCCTTAGACTGGATATGCTGTTACTGTAGATTTTCTTTGTGGTCTCCCAGGCACCAGCTTGTGTTTGGATACAGTTCATAACCGTTGGAGATCCCATCCCCCATCAATCTCACCTTTCCGGATACTTCAGCCAAGTTCCTGTTCTCTGTCAGTGTGTTGACTGCCGAGGCTAGCTAGATCAGCTTGGGGGAGGCACCTGAAATGGGTAGAGATATTTTTTCTTCCTTCGCTCAGTGGGTTGTAAATGTTTGGTGTTTTCTATTATAAAGAACGATGGATGCTCTGATATTGGGTATACTGAAAAGGGTGAGATTGATGGATGTTAGAATTCTGAGGTAATTGAGGGATCAGGTGGGATAATGAAGTTGAGTTGGAAGATTAGCCATGATCTTATTGAATGGTCAAGCAGACATGTCGGGCTGTCTGACTGCTGTTCCTGCCCCTTACTCTTGGGGAGCGACCACCTCCGTACCTACTCTGTAACTTCCATATTCTTTCCACAAGAAAGTGGATGGTGATTTATACCCTAGTCCAGAGATAGAGACCAATTATGTTCTAACTGAAGACTGCTTAAATAATATTGGTGGGGAGAGATGTAGTCTGTGTGGATCAGTGTAAAAGGTGGTAAATTTGCTCACTGACTTATTAAAAAGCCTGTCCGTCCTTGTCAGATACCAGTACAAAGTGTCTCAGGAAACACTTGAGTAGTGGGTTATGTAAGGGCAGACCTGGAGCAAGAGGAATCTATTGAAAAAAGAACTGTGGGTCTGGTAAGTGTTTTATGAAATAAAGGGTGTCAAGTGTCGCAGTGATGAGATGGTAATGCGGATCATCCACTAAGCCAAAATACTGACTGGTACAAAGGATAAAAGGAGGACTTGAGTCTCCATTTGTGAAAATGCAAATATAAGCAGGCTTGCCTACAAATGTTGGCTGTTTTGGTAGTTTTCTAATTCTAAGTTTTTTTTTTTTTTTTTTTTAAAACTGTAAAACTAAATTTAATGATTTTTGATTTAAAATAAACTCTTTGAGTATTTTTCATCTTTAACAGGCAGCTTGTTGTCCTGAGCGACTTATAGATTGCAGGAAGGTGTGGGTCGTGAGAGCAGACGACTCCTAACTCCCAATATTTCGATTCACAATAAAGATTTGGATAAGGGAATCAAGTATACTATTTCCAAGTTTGTAGACAACACAGAACTAATTGGAGTGAGAGTGAGATTTTGGCAAGATTCGGACAAGTTGAATGAGTGGATAAATACAGGGCAAATGCAGTATAACATGGGTTAATATGAAGTTTTCCAATTCAGTAGGAAAAACAGAATGACAGAGCATTATTGAAATGGTGATAGATTAGGAAATATTAATGTACAATGGACCTGGGTGTCCTTGTGCACCAGCCATTGAAAGCAAGCAAGCAAACAGTGAAAGAAAATGGTATGTTGACTTTCTTTGCAGTGATATCTGAGTACAGGAACAAGCAAGTCTTACTGCAACTGCTCAGGGCCTTGATGAGACCACACCTAGAGTACTATGTGCCATTTTTGCTTCCTTACCTAAGAAAAGGTATACTTGCCGAAGGAGTTCAGTGAAGGTTAACCAGATTAATCGCTGGGATAACGTGTTTGCGTTATGAGCAGAGATTAGGTTGACTGGGCCTGTATTCACTGGTGTTTAGAAGAATGAGAGGGGATCTCCATGAAATGTATAAAGTTCTGGTGTGGCTGGTCAAACAATCTGCAGGATGATGCACGAAAAGTCAGTCTCAGGATTTGAAGTCGGCCACTTCAGACTGAAATGAGAAATTTCTTCAGTTGGAGAGTGGTGAACCAATTGAATTTGGTAGTAAAAAGGCTGTGGAGGCAAAGTCACTGAATATGTTCAAAAAAGAAATAGCTTGCCAGAAGCTAAAGGTGTCAAGAGGAATGGGGAGAGACTAGAAGTATGGCAATGAGTTAGAGGATTAGCGATGATGATGTTGAAAGACAGAATGGTCTCAATGGGCTGTGTAGCGTAGTCCAGCTATTTTCTGTTTCCATTTTACTTCATTTCTTTGCCTTGCAGGACAATGTCGTGGAGGATGCAATGACTGTCGATCCCAAACACCATCGATACTTTGTGATACGCCGTGGACAGGTTTTGCGGGAAATTGCTGATGAATATGGCGGTGTGATGGTCAGTTTCCCCCGTACTGGAACACAGAGTGACAAGGTGACACTGAAAGGTGCCAAAGATTGCGTGGAGGCTGCCAAGAAACGCATGCAGGAGATCATTGAAGACCTGGTATGAGTAGTTCAGTGTTACAGTTCATTGATATGTCTAATCTCATAATCGGCAATAATATATTGAGGCTAAATGCCAAATTTTGGGATTGAATTAAATTATTCCATGATTAATTCATTATGATATTGAAAGGCAGAATGCCCATTTTAAAATTCTTGTACCTAGTTGGATTGCAAAGTACTGTAGTATCTGAGCCTGAATCTAGTAGCTTAATGTTGCTTCTGTGACTAACATTGTCCTCTACCAGGATCTCAATTTTAATATTGTGATATCACCCTGCCGTATTTTAGTTGTACACTTATTGTACCAGTTTCCCTTAGAACATTCCCTAAAAGAGAGTGCTTTCCTGTATTCCTCTCTTGACCATGTTAATCCCCGTTAAGGTCCAATTCAATAGATGCCAGTAGTTCTTCAGTCTTTAAATGAAGATCCTTGCTGTCCAGCTCAGCCCAGCACTGCCAGCATCCTTCTGGGTGCATTTATTTTTTGTGGGTGTGGGGTAGTTTTACACTAGATTAGTCTAATTTGGGTTCAGCGCCATGTCACAGTTGACTGGGATAGCATGTTGGAAATCAAGCCCTGCTATTTGCAGACTTGTCGCAAATGTTAAAGTTTTAAAATAAGGACATCAGATTCCTGAATTTATCATTTGGGTGCTTGGAAAGCATGAACCAGATCTCTGTACTTAACAAGAATTACAATTTATTACAGGTAATTAGACTACAGCTACAAGTAAACAGTTATGAACTATCAGCATGTAACATTACAAATTAAAACTCTATTCCCCTTTAAACTACCTTTATACACAGACAAATAGCCAGGTAAAAATAGGTGGAGTGGAGGAAAACTGGGAAAGCACTTCAGTGATTTGTATTCGTGGGTTTTTGAAATGATCCTTATGCTGGTCAGAACATTGCTGTTCAGTCTTCTTTGGATGCTTCCACTGTTTTGCAAGACTAGTAAACTGCTCGATTTTACAGAATCAATAAGAGTTGCAGCTTAGAGCAACTACTGAAGGAAAGATGAACTGGTTTTTTTCAAGTTTAAAGTGATTTTGATGCAGAGAACAGCAAAGCTGCTCTTGAGCTGGCTGAGATCAAATCGCTTCACTTCACTGTATATTTTGTTCCAGCCCCAAGCTGTCCATTTGCTTGACAGCCAGTCACATGGCTGTTGGGATGCTCTTGTCATTGATTACTGGTCTATGGACTAGTGATCAGTTAACTACTTGTTGCCAGGCTGAACTGCATTTGTACACAATCCTGCTTTGGTTTGACTGCAACTATTTCAGTTACTGCTTGGTCAAACAACTGTTTACATAATGCTTGCCAAAACATGCAGCAATCCTGTAAAACAGTGGTTCTAAAGCAGTTATTCTCCATTCAGTCCACAAATTTTAAAAAGCTGTAAAATACACCATCTTTACAGCCATATGCCGCTCTTCTCATGTAAAGACCACTTATTTATTGAGACTGTGAACTAAAAATGGGAGAAAATACTGCTTTAAACCAAGGAAACCTTTGAAAGAAGATGCTTGCAGTTTTAAGAACAAGTTACTGGAACACATTGTGAGGTCTGTCTACAGTGTTGCCTTACTTAAGCAGTGCAGGAGAATTCGGACAGAACGGTGCTGCCTCTGTGTGTTCAGGGCGATTTTTCTAAGAGGCAGTTTTTACATTTGGCTTGTCAATCAGGACAAGTTGTTGTGGACTCGGGACGGCTCAGCATGGTAACAACCATTTGAAACCCAGGAACCAGCCTTGGGTACAGACAGTACAGCAGAAACATCCAGCCTGGAAGAGAAAGGTGTTTCTGTCTCTCTACTGTGTGGAGAAATAAAAGAACATCTCTAGTAGCCAGCTACTGTCCCTCATCCGTCTCTAAGTTGTTCCCTCTGCAAATTCCCTGTCCTCGAAGAGGCACGGCAGCTGTTGAATCCCAAACTGAGAATCAGTCTTGCTAGCAAAGAATAGAGGGCGACGAAAAAGCTGAAAGAAAATTGCCCATTGACATCTGTGATCTGGGTTGTGCTTCTCAAACCATTTTTTTCATTCCTTCCTCACCCACAATACTTGTCTTGTTTTTATATGAACAGGATTTTTAAGAAACAAGTAGTGTTTGCATTTGAGTTTTTCATATGCACTCCAACTAGTCAATTTTTTGCCATTTTAAAAAGTAACTCAATTACAATAGGTAGTTATTTTCTTGTTATCATAGCATCATCATAGAATCCCTACAGTGTGGAAACAGGCCCTTTGGGCCCAACAAGTCCACACCGACCCTCGGAGCACCCACACAACCCACCTAATCTACACATCCCTGAACACTATGGGCAATTTAGCATGGCCAATCCATCTAATCTGCACATCTTTGGACTGTGGGAGGAAACCGGAGCACCTGGAGGAAACCCACACAGACACGGAGAGAATGTGCAAACTCCACACACAGTTGCCCAAGGGTGGAAATGAACCCAGGTCTCTGGTGCTGTGAGGCAGCAGTGCGAACCACTGAGCCACCGTGCTGCCCTTTAAGAGGCCCTACCCTCTCTCTAGTTGCCCTCTTGCTATTAATGTCTTTGTAGAATCTCTTTGGATTACCGTTAACCTTATCTGTCAATGTTATCTCTTATCCCATCTTTGCCTTCCTGATTTATCTCCTCTGAATGCTTCTACACTCTTTAGTTCAAAACAAAATTGGTGCGCATATTCTTTCTTTTGTAACCTGAATTAGGCAGTTAGATAAAATTGGACAGTTTGTTGGGGTTTAATCAAGTTTTCACATTTGTGACAACTCCAGGAATTGATTTGATTTTCAGAATGCTATCCCAGTGAGTTGTGACACTAACAACTAGCATCCCCATTTTAAGTCATTATATATCTGCTCATGTATGAGAATTAAAATTCAAATATCAAGTGAAACTGATCTTTCTCCCTTACTGTAGCTGCTGAATATCTCCATAGTGTTGTACTCTACATGTAAACAGATAATGGTACAAGCTGTAGATATATAGAAATTTTAAAGTTTACCGTGTCTACTACGATATGGTGTGACTAGTCCCGTCGGTACCTGATGCAGTCCAACACTGAATATGAATCATGTGCATGGAACGTGTAATTTCGGGTGAAAGTTAACCTATTAAGTTTCCTCTTGCTGTTTATGCTGACTGAGATTCATTAGTTGAATTTAATTGCAGACCTCCCAACTCTATCTCAGCAGTGCACATACCATAAACAAACTTCCTTGGAAGTGCTAATAAGGTTGAGGCTGTAGCCTTTGCAGTCTTGAGTACCTCAGAATATTATGGTGCCTTTTTTGCTGAGTGCTGCATTGCATTGACCCTCCACAGGCTTCAAGTTTTTAGTCAAATCCTCAATCTCCATTGCCCAATGTGAACAGAGTTCCTCCAACTCTTCTTTTGTATCAGCTGCATCTTTGTTTTGAATTGTTTCAAGGTTTCCTACCCTGTCTTAATGATCTTTTCCCTGTTTTTGTGTATTAATCCTTTGCTTCTGTAACATGTTTTCGCTTTGCTCCTGCTAGACGTCTACCTTCCAGCATTCTCCGTTTTATTCCTTTTGTCTTAGAATGACTGCTTATTTTCATTGTCATGTGAAGTAGCTGGGATTTACAGTTGCCTGTTTCACATTGTACTAAAGGTTAACTTTTGCCCTTTTCTTGTTTACAAAGACTTCTCTCTGACCCTGACTTTGCTCCTACCACCCAGCCTCGATATGATCTTCCTCTTTTTGCTTGAAGATCAATTGTTTTCTTTGTTGCAAATCGCTCTGAGACATCATCTTGTGTGTAGCTGAAAATCCTGCAACGTATTGTACTCAGGCTAATTAGCAATTCTGCTTTGATACAGGAAGCTCAGGTGACCATCGAGTGTGTAATTCCACAGAAGTTCCACAGGATGGTGATGGGTGCCAAAGGTTTGAATGTGCAACAGATCACCAAGGACCATAATGTACAGATCAAATTCCCTGAGCGTGAGGAGAATCCAGGTAATGTTGTTTCATTGTGATCTCTGCTGCATTTCACACTTAATTTTTGTAAACATGTATTTAGAGCTAGCCAGTTGTATACAGTTTACAGTGCAGATACAAATCATTTAGCCCATACTGATATTTATGCTGCACATGAGCTTCCTTCCACCTTACTTCATCTCCCCCTATCAACATACCTGTTCTGTTACCCTAATGAATTTTATATGGTATGATCTGCCTGTACTGTATGCAAAACAGAACTTTTCACTGTGCCTAGGTACATGCGACAATAATAAATCAAATTTTTAAAAATCCTATTTCTTTTCCCCCCTCATGCACTTAGATTGTCCTCTTTGTACAATATAGCGATGTTACTAGCATAAACATATACTCCCTACAAAATGGCACTAAAAATAAAATAATGCAGAATTAAGGCATTCTGTAATGTCGCAAAGAAGTGCCCATAATTACTAAATTTAAACTTTGACATTTGCTCAATTTATGTCCCTGTGGCATCACCAGCTCTGACAGTACTCTGCCCACACCATAGTTTTGTCACAGGATAAATTATTATTTTTCTAATGCAGTCACTTTCCACTACTCTTTTCTGAGCACCTGACTGAGATTTGGAAATGTCATACGAATTTGTTTCTCAACAGCAAGGGGCACCATCCCCATACATTCTTACAGTGGAAGATGCCATTTAATTCTGAAAATGCTATAAACTATGTAAAAGAAATATTGGTACACGTATATTGTGCACTTCAGCCAATTAACTTTTTAAAATATTTGTGTTTCAAAGAGACAGCATCTCAGATGAGCCACTTATTTTTTTTCCATGCAGAGCATGGAAGTTTGGATCTGGATACCACTTTCTTGAGTACCTCCCCAACACCACCTTTACTTGAAATAAGCCTGTTTTTTGTGAGCAGGCAGAAGACACTATCAGAAAGAGAGCTTGTCTTTGGATGAAGTCCTAATTAGCAACCTGACTCAACTTTTTATAGTGCCTTCTCCATCTATAATGCTTTCTATCTTTACCCATCTATTGCTGAATCTGCCATCCAAGTATTTGTTCCCCAAGACTTAACTATTCTAAAGCTCTTTCTCACCTGCTTCCCATCTTACATCTTCCATAAACTCAAGCTCAACTCTGCCAGAATCTTAACTATCTACAAGACTTATTCACCCATCACCTCTTGGATATTTATGGTGTCTCAATCTACTGATGCCACTATTCTAAAATGCTTTCTCAAACTCCACCCTACTCAGTCTTTGACCTCCCTGTGTCTCTAATTTCCAGCGTTTTTTAACCCACTGAGGGCTCTAATCCTCCAACTGTGACCTCCTTGTGTATTCCCATATACGCCACCATTGGCAGCTGTGTCTTGAACCACTCTGTCCATAAATCGCCCTGTGTCCCACCCCCAACAATCTTCCCTCTTTTTTTCAACCCCCCCCTCCCACTTCAAATAAGTTCTTTAATACTGGCCTCTTTGACCAAGTCCAGGTTTGTCCTCAACACCAAGCAAGACAAATGCAACCCAGCCAACTACTGCCCCATCAGTCTACTCTCAAGAAAGCGATGAAAAAGGGTCATCAACAGTGCTGTTCAGCAGCACTTGCTTGTCAGTGACCTGCTCACTGATATTCAGTCCATTAGGGCCACTCAGCTCCTGATGTCATTGTAATCTTAAATCAAACAAGAGCAAAAGTGCTGAAATCCAGAGGTGAGCTGAGAGTAACTGTCCTTAACATAAAGGACACAATTGAGAATGTGTGGTGTTAAAGAAACCAAGCAAAATTTAGAGCCCATGGGAATTGGGGAAAGCTCTTTTGCTGGTTGGAATCTTACCTCCAACAGAGGAAGATGGTGGTGGTTGTTGTAGGGTCACTCCCCTCCTCTCCAGAGCATCACTACAGGACCTCTTTGGGAGTGTCCCAGACACACCTACTTTCAACTGGTTTTATGAAAGACCGAAGGTCAGAAATGGGGATGTTCACTGAGCACAACTTTTGTTCTTGTTGGCAACTTTGCAGATAATGAAGCAGTCATGTCCAAATGCAACAAGATTGGGACAACATCTGGGTTTGGGTAGACATTCTTGACCCCAGAACAGAGCAGCCTGCTTGATTGGCGTCACGTCCACTTCCTTCACCAGACAGTAATAGTAGTAGCAGCAGCATCATGCAACATCAATGAAATACACTGTACTTAACGCAGGGATGGATAGAGTTCTTGATTTAGGCATGGATTACAGGGTGAAGGCAGGATAAGGGCTTTGAGAAGCACATCAGCCACGATTGAATGCTGGATAGGCTCGATGGGCTGAATGGCTGAATTCTTCTCTCTTATTTTATGCACTTTAACCACTTTCCGAATCAGTGACCACTATCCTTTTGAGGACAAGGGCAGCAGGTATATGGGACCACCACCTGCAAGTCCGCCTTGAATCGTGAGCCGTGACTTGGAAATATGCCTCCTTCTCTTCAGTGTCTCTGGGTCAAAACTCTGGAAGTTCCTTCCTAATAGCTCAATGTTTACCCTACATCAAATAGATCAAATACATCCCACGAATGAATAAAAAGACAGTTTGAACAGCAAAATGTGCACAGTCACTGCCACACACTGGAAAAACCTATTTTGTTCCTCTCAGCACTCGAGCAGCAAGTCCATGAGAATGGAGAGACTGATGGAGAAGTTAAGGAGGTTGATCCTTCTGTACCCCGGAAGAATGACATCATCATCATTTCTGGGCGGAAGGAACGCTGTGAAAAAGCCAGAGATGCTTTGCTGGTACGTTTGAAACTAACTTTTTCAGCTTGGGGTTAAGTCAGGTACAAGAACCAGTCCAAAAATTGTGATTTCTAATTTATTAGCACTATTTACCCAGAGGCTTAACCTATTTATTCAACAGTTTTACAGGTACAGGAATTTCAAGATGCTGTTTTGTCACCAGCAGTAAATTGTAGCTCAGGACTCAGTGAGGCAAAGGCTGTTTCTCATTGGGATGTTCTCTTACAGGCACTAGTTCCTGTTACTATCGAAGTGGATGTACCCTTTGATTTGCATCGTTACATCATTGGCCAGAAGGGAAGTGGCATACGCAAAATGATGGAGGAGTATGAGGTAAAACTTGCTAATGCATAACTTGCTACAGCCCCTCTGTCAGGCAGAGATTCATTATTGTTGACTTCACTTGTGGGATTGTTACTGTTGAACCTTGAATCATCCAATTTTATACAGAAAGGAGCTCTTTAACCCCTCTAGGTCATGCCTGATCTAAGGGAACTAGCTACCTGAATTCTTTTTTGATTTACTCCATGGTCATTTTTTTTTCATTTTAAAGTATTTATCTGTCTCCTATTTGTAACATTGGATTATGCATCCATGACAGAACATTTCCATTGCGTATTGAAATCAGCTAAGCACTCCATTCAGTTGTTTTTTCTGTTTGGTGTTTTTTTTTTTTTAATTTTTGCTCTCTGGTTACTAATTTTCCCCATCACGGGAAATGACTTCAAAATCCTTCACTAATTGTGCTAACTTGCATCAAGTCCCCCTGCCGCGTGCGCGCACACCATCACTCTAGTCAATGGAGCCTCAATCTCTAATCATTCCTGGACAGATATTGTATTTGAGAGGATCACTGAATATTAAAATTGGACTGTTAATTATTTTTCCTTCCTTCCCCAACTTGTGGCCACCATTTGTGATATCTCTTTACTGTGTGTGATTACCAGTGTATCAAAAATAAAATGTACGTTTACGTTTAAATGTTGTTGTAATTAAATCAACTTTTTGATCAAACAGCCAACGGGGAAGGAGTGAACTTGCACTGTCCCCCTTGCTGTGACTTCTTATTCTCTTAGTACCGGACTTGCGTTTGGGCATGTAACAATAATCAGCTCATTTGTTCAATATGTGACACCCCTGTCCAGGTTGTGAATGGAGCTCTACTTGGTATCCATAATATTGCCTCATTCAGTGTTGGCTATCAGAGTGCAGAATCTGACACTACTCTTTTTATCTGTCAGGCAGGGCTCCCTCATTGGGGCTGTTAATCTGGTCCAATCAGGGAACTCATTCTGAGGTCTAGCCGGCTAAACTTTTTTCAATCACTTTACTTTTTAAAAAATTTGCAGTTTCTTTTGAATTTTATGAGAATGATAGCACTTGCAAATGTCCATGGTAGTTATAGGCAAAGCCATTGATTGGCAATCAAGAATTAATTTTCAGAGTCCGTATACTCCAGCACAGGATACTGAAACATGAGATGATTGAAGAGTCACAATTGTCCTTTCATAAAGGACTGTAGAGAAGAACGTGTGTCCGTTTGTCGAGAGTTGCTCTTGATGAGTGATCGATGTTAATGTCCTAGGGTGGTCTCCTGGAGTCATGCTTCATTAACAGAAGTTATTTCCCTGAGCCTTTTCTGCATTTGTTGCAGATTTGCTTTTCTCAGTTTTATTTAATTATAAAATGTGTAAATAGTGTATATGATTATCTGAGCAATATGAGCCTGATTGGCCTTTGCTCACCCTTTATTTTGCATGTTAATATTCATGTATAGAGCCATTAAAGTGTAAAATACCCTGAGAAAGTAGAGCATTTTGTATTATAAGTTCTTCATGGCCTGTAATTTGAGTGCACTCATTGTTTCAGAATACTTAAGCTGTTTTGGACTATATTAAGTGCCCATAGGTTCAAGTGTCTGTTTGCTTTGTTTAAAAACATGCTCCGTTAACTTTGTTTCCCGTTATCACAGATTGAATTAAGTGAAAAATGGACTGGAATCTCCAATGTTCTTGATGTAGCTCTTTGTTATTGTGTATTGTTGCCAACTGTTCTTCTGCTTCTTCAAAAAAAATGTAGGTGAACATTGCTGTGCCCCCTCCTGAGGAGCAATCAGACATCATTAAAATCACTGGGCTGCCTTCTCACCTGGAAAGAGCTCGGCAAGGACTGAATGAACGGGTCAAAGAGCTTCAGATGGAGCAGGAGGACCGGGTAAGCACGCTTGCTTAATTACTGAATGATTCATGATATCTGAACCTGCATGTGGCACAGACATCTCAAACTGGCCCAGCTTGAACAGCAGTTGTTCCATATGTAATCCAGAAACCCTAGTCTAGCTTACAGAAACATAAAATATAGGATCAGGAGTAGGTCATTCAGTTCTTTTTGAGTCTGCTCTACCATTCAATATAATAGGGGTTAATCGTCCAATTGTTTCTGCTCTGTCTCCAATTCCTCTGATCCCTTTAGTCCTAAGAACTATACCTACATTTTTTTTGAAAATCTTCAATGTTTTGGCATCAGCAGTTTCCTGTGGCAAAGAATTCCCCCGGCTCGCCATTCTGGGTGAGGAAGTTCCTCCTCATTTCCGTCTTAAATTACCTACTACTTATCCTTAGACTCTGACCCCTTGTTCTGGATGACCATCCTTCCTGCATCTACCGTGTAGAATCCTGTTACAATTTTGTATGTTTATGAGCTCCCGTCTCATTCTTCTTCTAAATACTTATGAGTCGAGTCATCCAGCCTCCTAATATAGGTAAAGACACTCTCATTCAGTGGTGGGTAGAGGTATAATCATTGCATAAGTGGCAGAATTCTTTTTTATTTCTTTGCACTTTCTTTCTCTTGTCCTCGTTCTTCCCCTTCTGAACAATTCTGGAGTGATATCAGAAAACACTTGGTCGCACAAAGGGTCATGAACTCTCTCTGTCTTGTTTTCTGTCTTGGTCCATATCTATTGTCATTGCTATACATGGTGTGAAGGTGAATATTTAGGGTTTAATTATGTTGTTATTAGTGATTAGTTTTGGAAGTTTAAACACTGGACTAAACAAAGGTTTGGCACTTTTTTTGGATTGTTAATCATCAACTCAGACTAGTGAAGAATCCGCTCGGAACTGACTTTAGCTTCATTTAGGTTTGTTGGAGTGCATTTGAAGCAATTCTCACACTTGGGGCAGAGAACTTTTTTTAAGATTATGAACACTGTGTACAGTTATCTAAGTGAAGATTGACTTATTCACACCTCCCCACCTCCACAGGCTCTGAGAAGCTTCAAGTTGACTATCTCTGTGGATCCACGTTATCACCCAAAAATCATTGGCAGGAAAGGTGCAGTTATTACTCAGATTCGAATGGATCATGATGTCAATGTCCAATTCCCTGACAAGAATGATGAAAATCAGGTATGGACTCTTTCTCTCGGACTGTGACACAATTTGGATGTGGTACTGTGCCTCTCCTTCGCTAAGGCAGATATTTAAATAATGGCAGCAGCTGCTTGTACCACAAGGATGCCATCTGTGTTGGCCTCCTGGTGAGAATTTCCAGGCAGGGATCTGATCACTTTCATTACATAGGCTCTGTGTTTTTACGTTGCTTTTTTTTTTTTTTTTTAAAATATTCACAAATATCCCAGGGCAATCTAATGCTGATATCGTCCCTGCGGTTTAGTACGGAAGAGGTCCAGCCTTGAAGAGTAGGTGATGCTTGCAAGGCACCATCCCCAATGGTGCAGCATGATAAACTGCTGAACCCACAAAATGGAATGTTACAATCTCCATAAGTAAGAACAGCTATGAAGAGATGGCGACCTGAAGGGTTGCGAACATATCTACGTGTGAAGTTAAGCTAGACAAGTGTGTAGGAAAAGACTAGAGGGATATGGTGGGTTGAGAGGAGGATTGTTCAGAACGTATGTGCTGGCAAAGACTGGTTAACACATAGAAGCTGGCAGAGGCAAATTTACCCTTTTTGAGACTCTTCTGCCATTAAGTGCAAACATGGCAACTCCACCTTCTCAAGCAATCCTTGTATCTCTTAATTCCTTCAATGCAAATGGTCTCAAATGTTTTCGCACTGTGTGACCCTTCAGTGAGAACTGAGGGGGATGGGACATATGAAGAGTAGGGCGCAGACACGGAAGACCTGAGAGAGGAGGAACTACATGACAGCACGTTTCCTCTGACCCTGGGACCCAACTCCCACGCTTTAGGGAAGACTTGACTTGGTGTTTGAGAAGTACCAATCTCAGACTTGAATATACTCCTCATCTGAGCATTCAGAATCTTTTTGGGGCAGACAGTTCCAAAGATTCAAAGCCCTTTCAGTAAAGAAATTTCTCCTCACCTCAGACTTAAATGGCTGCCCCCTTATTCTCAGATTGTGACACCCTAGTTCTGGATGCCCCAGCCAGGAGACATATGGGCCACTTGGCCCAAGTGGGATTTCTGTGCTGTTAATTCATTGTAATGTTCAATTACATGTTGAAAAGGGCATGGCATTAACTCTTAACAATGATGTCAGGAGGGGAAGAAAAGAACTGCAGATGCTGGAAATTGGAAATAGAAATTGCTGGAAAATCTCAGCAGACTTGGCAGCATCTGTGGAGAGAAAACAGTTTTACGTTTTTGGTCCAGTGACCCTTCTTCAGAACTGATGGTGGTTAGGAAAAGGTTGGTATTTGTGCACAAGGTGAGGTGGGGGGAGGAGGGAGAAAGGTGGAGATACAGCCCAAAGAGGAGTGAGTAAAGGTCAGTTTGGGAGAATGAATAGCTACTAATAGGGAGTATTAGTAGCCGACAATGGGTAGCAACCCATGTGATAAGGCCTGGTGTGTGGGGAAAGGGTTAAGGACATGGGAGAAGGTTCTTGAGCCGTAAAATTGTTCAACTTGAACTTGAGCTTTGGAGCATTGCAGCAATCCCAAGACCGATGTTGGTGTGGGAACACTAATGTATTGAACTGGCAGGCAACTGGAGACTCTGTCATTTTTTGCAGACAGAACGTGGGTGTTCTACAAAGCGGTCACTCAATCTGTACCTCCTTTCCCCAATGTAGAGGAGTTGATAACGTTCCCCACTGTTGTCAGGAGGATGGGCACTATGGCCCATGGTCTGGAGTGAGGACAGCTTGTTGCAGTCATATTGGTGTTGCCAGGTGAAGGGAAAAGTGATAATGTCAGTCAGTGGCTAAGCCAAGCAAGGCAAACATTGTTATAATGCATGATTATGTTTGATCTATCAATTTTAACAATTTCCTTCTTCTCTGTTTTAGGATCAAATAACTATCACTGGGTATGAGAAAAATGCAGAAACTGCCAAGGAAGCCATCATGAAAATAGTGTCTGAACTGGAGGAAATGATATCTGAGGACATTACTCTTAACCACAAAGTCCATGCCCGTATTATTGGTGCTCGTGGAAAAGCCATCCGAAAGATTATGGAGGACTTCAAGGTGAGCTTCTTGTATTCTATGACGATGCAACATGAGACCAAAATCAACTGTAAACTAAGGACAAAATCAGAAAAGGTAATATAGTGTGCATTTTTTATGCTTCCACTCCGAATGGACTGGTGGTTTCTGCCTCAGATGACCATTTACTTAACTGGTACTGGAATAAGCACTTGTATGATCTGTAATGTCAACTCTTCCCCCTACCTCTATTGTCACAATTCAAAACAGTCCCACCAGTTCCTGTCTAGATTGTAGTTGCCTCTTCAACTAACTTGCTGGAGGTTTTTGACGCTGTGTCTCTCCTTAACAAATCCATGTTGGCTTTTATTGTTTAACCCACATTTTCCCAAGTGACTCTTAAATTTGTGTCATATCACCATTCCTAAAATCTTCCCACCATCAAGGTTAAACTGACCAGTCCGTGATTGCTAAGTTTATCATTACAACCTTATTCAAAAAGGGTACAACACTTGCAATTCTGCATTCTCCTGGCACCATCCAAGTCTGAGGAAGATTGGAAGATTACGACTAGTGCCTCTGTCATTTCCACACACTCATCCCTTAGGATCTTCAGATATATCTTGTTGGATCTGGTGTTTTATCAACTTATGCAAGTACAAATTGCTAATATAACAACCCTATCAATTTTAAATTCTAGTGTATCAATTTCCTCCTGTTTCACTGTGGTTCCTGTAACAACATCTTCCTCAGTAAAGACAAAGCAATCCTTTATGGCTCTGCTGTGCTCCACTCCGCCATGTGCAAATCACCTTTATGAATCCAAGTCAGCCCATGCCTATTTTTAGTCATATAAAAGACTTTTTGGTATTCTGTTTTATGTTGATGCCAGTCTCTTCTCATACACTCACTTTTTGCTTGTGAACCTGTGAATCTTTTTATTGTTGAATCAGAGATAGTAGGAACTGCAGATGCTGGAGAATCCGAGACAACAAGGTGCTGGGCTGGATGAACACAGCAGGCCAAGCAGCATCATAGGAGCAGAGAGGCTGACGTTTCGGGCCTAGACCCTTTATTGTGTCTGGTTCTCATAAGTTTTCGGATTATCAAGCTAACAGAAAGTTCACCAATTGTTATGAAAACTGGGACAGAAAACTCATGCCATATCTCGCCAAGAGCAGTCGCAATGATGCATTGGTGCAGTTAATCATCCTTAAGTGCTCAATATGTTAACCAGAGTTCACAAGTAAATTCAATTCTAATTCTCCAATCCTGAACAGTTCAGATAAACTGACCATTATTCATCTTGTTGCTTGACCTGTTCCAAGTTTTCTAGTGAGGGTAATCTCAAACCAAGCTACGGCTCTTCCTTTTGATCAAGGGTTGCCTGAGAACCAGATCCTCCTGTGCCATGGAGTGGTATAACTGTAAGAACAAATATATTAATATGAAGTCTGGAGACAAGACATAGGCAGTCTTGCAGGAATGAAGCGTTTTGGCAATACAAGGGAGAAAGGGAGTGAGATGTGATGGCATTGACCCACATTGCTGAAGCAATATCACTGAAGAGCCTGAACTCAACTTCAATTCCCCTTTCTCTCTTGCAAAGATCTATGTTTCACCTTCTACCACATCAGTTTCCACATTCAACAGAATCCGCCATTTAACCACCTTTGCTGTGGTGCCACTATCTCACGTCTTCCCCTGTCTACTTGCCATATTCTGAAGGGACTGTGCCCTCCACACCACTGTCCCTTGCCACAGCCACTCCAACCCAACCATGAACCTCTTTCCCCCACAAACACATGAAAAACAATCCCTGCCCCTTCTTTTTTTCCCCAGTGCCCCAGCACTCTTTCCATGTCAATCAGCCAGTCATTTTCTTTTAGTTTAGAATACTGTATCTGCTGCTCATAGTGGGGTCGTTCACGTTGGAGAGACCAAACACAGATTGGTTGGGTGACCACTTTGCAGACCACCTATCAGTCCACAAGTGTTAGCTATACCTGGGTGCTTCATCTTACTCCCAACTTTAACCTCTCTGTCCTACAATACTCCAATGAAGCTTAAACATGAACACAAGGAACACCACCTCCTCTTTCAAATCTGAACCAGTATGGAAGCTGTAATGTTCAATAATTTCAGATCATTACCTCTGCCCTTTAGGTTTTTTTTTAAATAAAAGGTGGAGATTTTGCTTTACAAATGTATACCTTCTCTACAACCCTTTATTACTTATCCCATTATCAGCCCTTTCATCATGTACCACCATCCCTGTCATCACTCAATCTCTTCTGCCTTCTATCCTTTCCCAGACCATCCCTTTTTTGATTCTTCACTTCTCTGTACCATTTGTCTGACTTTTTACTTGGTCTAAATTGTGTTACAGCCATTATATTTTTAGAATCCCTACAGTGTGGAAACAGGCCCTTCGGCCCAATAAGTCCACACCAACCCTCCAACTTGCCACCCAGACCCATCCCCCTATAACCCACCTAACCTACACATCTCTGAACGCTAAGGGCAATTCAGCATGACCAGTCGACCTAACCTGCACATCTTTGGACTGTGGGAGGAAACCGGAGCGCCCGGAGGAAACCCACACGGACACGAGGAGAACTTGCAAACTCCACACAGACAGTTGCCCGAGGGTGGAATTGAACCCAGGTTCCTGGCACTGTGAGGCAGCAGTGCTAACCACTGAGCCACCAGCCACCCCTTATGTCCAACTTTGTCAAAGGGCAGTTGACCTGAAACATTAACTGTTGGAATCTGTGAGGAGAGAGAAAAAGACCTGCTGAATATTTCCAGCATTTTCTGTTTTTATCTTGATTATTGTTTCTTTTGGATTTTTTTTTAACCTGAGTTGTGATGTACCTCGTTGGTATTTTACCCGGTATCCCCACAGGCATTTCTTAAATATAGGTAATTCACATAAATCCACTTTTTTTTTTCTGCTGTGCTGCAGGTTGACATTCGTTTCCCTCCATCTGGGGCAGAAGATCTTGACCGTGTCACTGTGACTGGTCTGCCTGACAATGTGGATGAGGCTATTGATCATCTCCTGAACCTGGAGGAGGAATACGTAAGTATTAATGAAGTGTCGCTGCTCAGCGAGTACATAACAGCACACCCCAGTTAGCAGCAGACCTCCTAATGACTTTGTTATGCCACTGGGTATCATTGAGGGAATTCTATGCACCTGCAGTGCTGATCTTGTTTCCTTGATGCCCTTGCCCCATTTGTGGAAATACCTTCAACTGTCTAAATCCCAAGTTCTAGAATTCCTTCCTAAACCTTTCCTTCTCTGTCTTCTATAAAGATGTTCTTTGAAATCTGCCTCATTGACGATGCTTTTGGTAATTTTGTTTATCTCCTTATGTGACTTGGTGTCAAATTTTTGACTGATAAAATTCCTGTGCAACATCTTTAAAATGTTTTACAACATTAAGGGCATTGTATAACTGCAAACCTTGATTGCTAAACGTACAGCCTGGAACTGCATGATCCCATTGAGCTTGACCTCAGTTCTGTAGGCAATGTGCTGTACAATTCAAATGTAAAGCCTCAGTCCAATATTGATCAGTGCAGTGGGGAGTCCCAGAATCAGCTGGATTAAACAGACAATTCCCCATATTTGCTTGTAAAGCCCCCTTCTAAAAATAAGGTAAATCAATGTTACAAGCTGTAAATGAATGGAAAGACTTAGTGTATCGTACTTCTCATGGCTACCACCTCAAAATGCTTTACAGCCGGTGACATCGTTTTTAAAGTGTAGTCACTGATTATAATGTAGGAAGGGGACAACAAGTGTGAAACTTGAGCAGGAAATTATTTTTATCGCCAATAAAAATTGGCTGTCCCAGTTGAACTGCAAACTATATAATGTATGTGATTTCTCGCTTTTGTGATTGTTCTGGTACCTTTTTATTAAATTGCAGATTGCTCAGTCTTTGCCTGCATTGCAAGATGGGATGGATTAAAAGGGTAGAGAAATCTTATTGCAGCTGTATAGGACATTGGTGAGAATGCACCTAGGATACACTTCTCAACATTGAAATTCAGCTGCCATCTATCTGATCCCTCACTAACTCATCTGTTCTTTTGTCTACATTGTCCTCTTTACAGTTTACAAGTTTAGTATCGTCCACAAACTTTTGAAATTGTCTCCAGCGCACTTAGATCCAGATCCTTAATCTGTCTCAGAAAAGGCAAGAGTTCCAATACCATACCCAGGCACTCCACCGCAAACCTTCCTCCAGCCTGAAAAGTATCCATTACCCATTGCTCTGTTTTCTATCAATTAACCAATTTTGTAACCATGTTGTTACATTCCCTTTTTTCTTCCATGAGTGCAACTTTTCTTACAAGTCTGTCATGTGGTACTGTGTTGAATGCCTTCTTGCAGTCCATGTATACCACGTCAACAATGTTATCATCATTGACTATTTTTTTGTCCATGTACCAAAAGAAAATTCTAGCCAATAACTTAAACATGATTTTCTCCCCTCAAAATCCATGCAGGTTCTTCATAATCAACGCACTCTTTTTCTACGTGACTACTAATTCTATTCTGAGTAATTTGTTTCCAGAAGCTTCTGCATTGCCAAAGTTAAACTGAGTGGTCTGTAATTGCTGGGCTTTTCCTTGCATCCCTGTTGGAACAGGGATGATGTTTGTAATTCTCAGGTTGTTTTTCCTGACACCTCCCCTAAGCCTAGGGAAGACTAAATGGTTGTGGCCAGTACCTTTCAGTATTGTTGGATGTTTCTCATCCATTCCTGGTGTCTTGTCAATCTTGAGTACCAGTAGTTTATCAAACACTTGTTCCTTGTCAGTTTTGAGCTCTTCTGATGACAGAGCTTCCTCCTGTGTCAGCTTGGCTTGGGTGACGAATTTGTTGAATACTTCAGCCATGCGCTGTGCCAACATGTATAAATCTACTTTTTTATGGTCCCCAATTACCCCTACTTGTCTTCTTAGTCTTGCTATTTATGCCTATAGATGGCTTTTGGATTCCTGTTCGAGGTTTTTTTTCCCTCACTATTCCTCTTCGCTTCTCCTATATGTTTTGTCACTTTCTTTTTGAACCTCTTCATTCTCAATTGTACTTTCTACCTGATCCCAGTCAGGAGCAACACTTTTTTTTTTTTTTCCCCTTTATCTTACTTTCTGTCTGCTTTGACATCCAGAAACATGCAGATTTGTTTTCCCTACATTTCTCTCTGAAAGGAATGTGCCTTTGCTGTATCCTCTTTGAAGGTAACCCTTTGCTCAGTTACAGTTTTTGCAGGTGAACTTCCATTCGAGTCTACCCTGCCCAGCTGCATTCCTGCCCTATTGAAATTGGCTCTCTGTCAGTTGATTTTTATCTTACTGTGGATTGACCATCATTCTTCACCACCCTGAACATTATGATACAATGATCACTGTCTCCTAAATGTTCCCCCACTGATATTTGATCCACTTGGTCCTGTCTCATTTCAAAGAACCAGGTCAAACAGTGCATCTTTTCTTCTTGGATTGGACACAGAAACATGGAAGATAGGAGCAAGAGGAGACCATTCAGTCCTTTGAGCCTGCTCCACCATTCTTCATGATCATGGCTGATCATCCAACTCAGTAGCCTAATCCTGCTTTCTCCCCCATAACCTTTGATCCCATTTGTCCCACGTGCTATATCTAGTCACCTCTTGAATACATTAAATGTTTTGGCATCAACTCCTTCCTGTGGTAGTGAATTGCACAGGCTCACCACTCTCTTTTTGGGTGAAGAAATGTCTCTTCATCTCTGTCTTAATGGGTCTACCCCAAATCCTCATACTGTGACCACTGGTTCTGGACACACCCACCATCAGGAACTTCCTCCCTGCATCTGCCCTGTTAGAATTTTATAAGTCTCTACGAGAATCCCCCTCTTCACCCCCAACCCTCCCATTTTGTCTAAACTCTAGCAAAAACAATCCCAACCTAGTAGATGTCTCCTTGTACATCAGACCCACCGTCCCCGGAATCAGCCTGTTAAACCTTCGCTGCGGTCCTTCGAGAGCAAGAGCATCCTTCCTCGGAAAAGGAGACCAAAACGGCACACAGTATTCTAGATGTGGTCTCACCGAGGTCATGACCAGGTGCAACAACACATTCCTTATCCTGTACTCAACCTCTCTCAATGAAGGCCAACATACCATTTGCTGCCTTTACTGCCTGCTGCACCTGCATGCTTACTTTCAGTGACTGGTGTACGAGGGTACCCAGGTCTCACTGCACACTCTTCCTCTCTCTTCTTCTCCACACCCGCCAACCCCCCCATCCCCTAATTTACAGCCATTTGGTAGTAATCTGCCACCTTGTTTTTGCTTCTGAAGTGAATAACCTCACATTTATCCCAATTATACTGCATCTGCCATTGATTTGTCTACTCACCCAACCTGTCGAGATCATGCTGAAGAACCTCTGCATCCTCATCACAGTTCGCCCTCCCACACAACTTGGTATCATCTGCAAACTTGGAGAGGGTTACATTTTGTTCCCTCATCCAAATTATTAATATATATTGTGAATAGCTGGGGTCCCAGCGCCGATCCCTGTGGCACCCCACTAGTTACTGCCTGCCGATTTGAAAAGGACCCATTAATTCCTACTCTTTGTTTCCTCTCTGCCAACCAGTTTCCTATCCATCTTGATTCACTTCCCCCAATCCCATGCGCTTTAGTCTTACACAGTAATCTCTTATATGGGACTTTGTCAAACCTGTTCTGAAAGTCAAATAAATATACAACATCGACTGGCTCCCCATTGTCAACTCTACCAGTGTCATCTTCATAGAATTCCAACAGATTTCTCAAGCATAATTTCCCCTTCAGAAATCCATGCTGACACTTTCTGATCCTGCCACTGCTTTCTAAATGCTCTGCTATAAAATCCTTGACAATGGATTCAAGAATTTTCCCCACTACTGCTGTTAGGTTCCCCTGTCTATAATTTCCTTTTTTTTTCTCTCTATGTCCCTTTTTGAATATTGGAGTGACATTAGCCGCCATCCAATCTGCACAGACTGTTCCAGAGTCTATAGAATCCTGGAAGATGACCACCAATGCATCCACTATTTCTAGAGCTACTTCCTTCAGTACTGTGGGATGCAGATTATCAGGCCCTGGAGATTTTTTTGCCCTTCAATCTCAACAATTTTCCCACCACTATTTTTCTACATTATTGATCTCCCTCAGTTCTTCCCTCTCTCTCTAAATCTTGCATCCTCCAACAATTCTGGTATCTGATTTGTGTCCTCTTTTGTGAAGACAGAATCAAAGTATGTATTCAGTTCCTCAGCCATTTCTTTGTCCCCTATTATACATTCTCCCACTTCTGTCTGTAGGGGACCTACATTTGTCTTTACCAATCTCTTTCTCTTCATGTACCGATAGAAACTCTTTAACATCAATCTTTATGTTCCCTATAAGCTTACTTTCATACTGTTTTCCCCTTCTTAATCAATCCCTTTGTCCTTCTTTGCTGAATTCTAAACTGCTCCCAATCCTCAGATTTAGTTTTTCTTGGCCAATCTGTATGCTGCTTTCTTAGATCGGATACTATTTCTTATTTCATTTTGTAAGCCATGGATTGACCCTTTTACCCATTTCGCTGTGACAGACAGGAATAAACAGTTGTTGCAGTTCCCCCATGTGTTCCTTGAATGTTTGCCATTGCCTATCCACTCTCATTCCTTTTTTGAAATAACTCTCCCCAATCTATCAAGGCTAACACACGCCTCATCTCCTCGTAGCTTCCTTTTTTATTAAGGTTCAGCACCCTAGTCTCCGAATCAACAACCTCCACCTTCATAAAAAAAAATTTTTTTAATCCTGTTATGGTCGCTGTTACCAAAGGGGTCTTGCACAGCTAGATTGGCAATGATTTCGTTCTCATCACACACACACAGTCTAGGATAGCCTGCTCTCTAGTTGGTTCCTCCACATATTGGTCAAGAAAAGCATTCCGTATACACTCCAGGAGTTCCTCCTTTCATAGAATAGAATCCCTACAGTGTGGAAACAGGCCCTACGGCCCAACAAACCCACAGCAACCCTCAGAGTATCCCACCCAGACTCATCCCCCTATAACCCACCTAATCCCTGAACACTATGGGCAATTTAACATGGCTAATTAACCTGACGGCACATTTTTAAACCGGAGGAAACCCGTGCAGGCACAGGGAGAATGTGTAGACTCCACATAGATAGTTGCCCGAGGGCGGAATCGAACCCTTTACGGCATTGGGCAAATCAAATTAGCCACAATGTATGTGCAGATTAAAATCACCCATGATCACTGATATTCCTTTATCACGTGCATCTCTAATTTCCTGTCATTCCCAACATCACTGCAGTTTGGGGGTCTATATATGACCCCCACTAATGTTTTTAAATGTCCCTTGGTATTTCTCGACTCTACCCATACAGACTCCACATTGTCAGAGCTAATATCCTTACTCGCTATTGTTTAATTTCCTCTTTAACCAGCAGTGCCACTCCACCACCTTTTTAATTTTTTGCCTGTCCTTCCTAAATACCGAATACCCTGGGACATTCACTTCCCATCCCTGGTCACCTGCAGTCATGTCTCTGTAATCACAATTATATCGTACCTGTTTACATCTGTCTGCATGATTTAGTTCATCCACTTCATTGCAGATGCTCCGCTCATTATGGCACAATGCCTTTTAAGCTTGACCTTTTTTTTAAGTGTTTGTGTGTTCATTTTTCTTAATAGCCCTGTTTGAATCTTGTCCTTGGTCTCTCAGCCTACCACCTTTCTTACTGCCTTTTCTAGTTTTTGCTTTGTTGTTCTTCTTGCTGCCTCCTTCTCTGACTCTTTTACATAGGTTCTCAGCCTCCTGGCATATAAGTGTTTAAACCCTTCCCAACTAGTCTAGCAAACACTTCCCCCAGGATATCAGTCCCGGTCTTGCCCAGGTGTAACCGATCCCAATACCCCAGGAATCTGAAACCCTCCCCCGCACCATCTTTTCAGCCACGTATTCATCTGGTATATCCTGTCATTTCTACTCTAACACATGCAACCTGTAGTAATCCTGAGATCACTACCTTTTTGAAGTCCGATTTCTTAACTTTATTCATAGCTCCCTGTATCCTGCCTTTAGGACCTCATCCCTTTACCTATGTCATTTGTGCTGATGTGCACCACAACCTCTGGCTGTTCACCCTCCCCCTTCAGAATGTCTTGTACCCACTCTGAGACATCCTTGACCCCAGCACCAGTGAGGCAATGTACTATCCTAGAGTCTTGTTTGCAGCCACAGAAACTTTTTTTTATTTAAAAAAATATACTTTATTCGTAGAAAATACAAAAAATAAACACATTTTCACCTACCCGGTCATGCTAGCCACCCCGGGTTACCCTGGGGGTACATACACCAACTAAAGGGAAAAAAACAAAGGAAAAAGAAAAACTCCAGCGGTCATCTCTACCTGTAGTCATAGTTGGCCCCCTGACTAGTTGGAGAAGGCGCCAGCTGGGCCCAGTTTCTGAACGGGGCCCTGTTACGGTACAGCTGAGGGGTCTTGCACGGTGGTCTTGCCCCACCGCGCCTTGGCGGCGGCTGCCCCAAACTTTAGTGCGTCCCTCAACACGTGGTCCTGAACCTTGGAGTGCGCCAGTCTGCAACACTCGGTCGGAGTTAGTTCTTTCAACTGGAAGACCAGCAAGTTGCGGGCAGACCAAAGAGCATCTTTCAGCGCATTGATGGTCCTCCAGGCGCAGTTGATGTTGGTCTTGGTGTGCGTCCCGGAAAACAGCCCATAGAGCATGGAGTCCCAAATGCCTGTCTAATACCCTTACAGTTGAGTCCCCTATGACTGTTGCCCTTAATTGTCCCTTGACAACACTTCCTCCTCAGACCACTGTTTGGTAGTGTTGACTGCGCCAATGCAAATTGTCGCCCCAACCACCAATCAGCATTTTCTGAAGAAGGGTCTAGGCCCGAAACATCAGCTGGCCTGCTGTGTTCATCCAGCTCTACACCTTGTTATCTCAGCATTGTCTCTGCCCTCTGCTGGCCGCTTGTCTTCACTCAAACTCGGAGGATGTCTTGCTGAGGTCCTCTTTCTGCTGGTGGTGACTGCGCTGATGCAAATCTTCATCCCAACCCCCAATCAGTGTCATCACTGCCCTCTGCTGGACTAGACATGTACTGCTATAAGAAATTCTGTTGAACACGATCTAGGAAGACTGGCCCCTTGCTGCCCCTTACACTACCAGTATCCCAGTCAATATTTGGGTAATTAAAATTTTCGCCCAAATTAACTATTCTGTAATGCAGGCATCCCTCTGTAATGTTGCTGTAGATTTGTTCCTGTACATCCATCCAACTAGTAGGCGGGCTATAGATAGCACAAACTGCCAAATTACACAGTTTCTCTTTCTTTTAGAGAATTGATCCAATCCTTGAACCTTCTGAGACATCCTGTTTCTTCAGTGCTACAAGGATCTCATTATCCAATACTACCACTTCTTCCTTTTCCATCTTTTCTAAACACCTTGTGCTCAGGAATATTTTACACTCACTCTCTAGCCTTTTCTTGAACAAAGTTTCTATTACAACAAAATCATATTTCCACGTGGCAATCTGTATCTGTAACTCTCCAGTCATATTTTTAATATACTGTGCATTACGTTTACACAGTCACCCTGATTTACACTTAATCAGATTTTCCCCTTACCCTGGCTCCTCCTATGTACTTGCTATTCTCCATGCTATATTTCATGTTAGTTTAAAGCCCTTCCAACAGCAAAATGCCCCGTAAAGAACTGAGTCCTAACTCTACTCAGGTGCCACCTGTCTGGCTTGTTCAAGTGTCATTTTCACCAGGGCAAGTCCCAGTGTCTTAGGAATCTAAAGCTCTCCCTTCTACATTATCTCTCCAGCCGCACCTGCATCTGTCTTGTCCTCCATTATTCTGGTACTTGCTTGCATGTCACACTCAAAGTATCTAAGATCACTATGTTTAAGGACCTGGTTTGTTTGTTTGTTTATTTTAAACCTAGCTCCCTAAATTCTCATTTCAAGACCACATCTCCTTTTTCTACCTAAATGATTGGCACTTACATGGATCGTGACCTCTTGCTGTTCATCCTTCCCCCACAGGAATGTCCAGAAGAAAAATGTACCTCCTTCCCCCCACCCTTCACCAAAGTACCCACTCAACATACTTCCTACTTTAGGCTTTCTTTTGCCCTCCACCAAATTCCCAGTTGTACCCTCTTGACTGCTGTCACTTGGGCGAAGTCTCCCTCTCGTTGACTGTCATAGAATCCCTACAGTGTGGAAGGAGGGCATTCACCCCATTGAGTAAACTCTGACCCTCTGAACATCCTGTCCAGACCCGCTGCTGTGAGGCAGCAGTGCTAACCACTGAGCCACCATGCCACCCTATGCACTCTTATTGATGCCAAGATGGAGATGAGAAATTTCTTGAGGGTCATTAGTCTTTGGAGTATCTTCTCCAGAGAATAGTGGGGCCAGCTCATTGAATATGTTCAAGGCTGACTTAGGCACATTTCTGACTTGACAAGGGTGTTCACGGTTATGGGGCCCAGCATGAAAGTAGAGTTGAGGCCACAATCAGGCAAACAGCGATTTTATTGAATTGTAAAGCAAGCTTGATGGGCTAAATAATGTAGTCTGTATCCTAAGTCTTGATACATCTCTCTCCTTCCTTTTAGATGTCAGACGTTGTGGAAAATGAGGCCATGCAGGCGTACATGAAGCCAGCATCACGTGTGGATGAACCAAAAACCACCTCCAAGGGCTTTGTGGTGAGAGATGCTCCATGGACTAGCAGCACAGAAAAGGTAAGGAACCCTCATGCTTTGTCTTGTTTGACAGTGAGGACTGAACTTTTTTCAGCTTGCGTGGCAAGCTGTGTATAGTTTTTGGGTTACTTGACCTTCCATCCCTGTGTATGTTATAGTAAACTTGATCGCAAGGCAGCTCTTGTTTGAAGACTGAGGGTGAGGTGTAGTCCATCTCTAACAACCCAACAATGGGGGTTTGAGCGTGAGAAGGATGTGCTGAAATATAGACATTTTATTTTATAAAAATTGCAAGATTTTAACAATTTGAGATTTTAAGACTGAACGAGGAAATAATTTTGAGGCAACAAAATGGTTATTGGGTTACTATTCAGCCTAGTTCCTGCCAGTAGTGATATTTTGCATTATTTTCACTCTCCTGCATTGCTTTTAGTTCCCTCAGGGTTTATGATCATAGTTTCCACCTGGCCTCTTTTTGGGTTTTTTTTTTGGCAGGTATCTAGTATATTAACATATCAATCACCTGTAACATGACAATCCCAACTTCTGGTCTGCATACTGTCACTGGGAGCAGATGTGATCTGAGTGCAAGTTTGGGTGATCCTTGCCCAAAGAAACCACTTGTTTACTCTTGGCATGTATGTTCTGCACTGTGCAGTGCCCACTCAGTTACTCGGGTTAGTCTTTTAAATTGTTAGCTTCCATTTTGAACTTGACCATGTTTAAGACTGCTGAATTTTCAGTTATTGAGTAGAAAAGTTTGAAGATGAAGAGATGATGGCCTGCCCAATTCAGAAAATCAGTATCTCCCAATTTGGATATGGATCAGTGTTGATTTTTAAAATATCAACCAGTGTGAGATGAAAAGTGTACAAGGGAGTCCCTGACTTGTGAATGTCTGACTTAACGAATGCTCATACTTACTAATGCAATCCCATACATGGATGTAATTTTAAAGACCCAACATGTAAGCATATCCTGTACTTGTGAATGGCTGCTTTCCATTGTGTCCTCATTTGCAAACGAATCGATTTTGTGAATGGACACCAGAACAGAACAGAACAGAACAGAACCATTCTCAATCCGGGGACTACCCTGTATCATGTTGGGATTTTAGAACATAGGTGTGAAGGTGCTTTTTTTTTCTAAAAAGTGAGTCCATTTAAAACGGTGATACAAATACATCACTTACAAGAAAGCACATGATTGCAGTTGAGTGCCTAGGAAAGCTCCTATAGTGTTAATGAGTGAACAGTTTATACTGTTGAGTTTCCGTCAGGCAGAATAAGCATATTAAGGCGGCTGCTTTAGAATTGACTTCAGAACCAAAAATTAAGCTTTAGTTCAGAAGGTAAAATAGTTTCTCTGTTTCTTGTCATTTTAAATGAATCAAGTTCAGTTCAGGGGAGCCAGTTACATCAGCAGAAATGGTTTCCAATCTGTGGAGCTTCCAAGCCAGGAGATCTTGGATATAAATCCTCCAAGTTGTTAGAACTAAAAGTTTTAGGCCATCCGAATTGAGAGGTTCATGCCAGCAGTCTCAAAAGCAAAATCTATTTTTCAAAAAATAGTTCCAGTAGTCCAGAGCTAAGAGATTGGAAAAATGCGAAATAGGTTGTATCCTTTTTTTGGACATTTTGTGTTAACATCTTTTTAACTCGTCCAACTAGTTTTGTTTTTTTCTTTTGGGTCATAAACATGTGCTGTGTTGTTGAGGGACATCTTGGGTCTCATGGATATTTCAGTGACTAATCACCAAAGTAACCAACTTAGGCGGGGGAAGAGAAGGTTTAAAATGCAATCTATCAAGCCAGGTTTTGTCCTGGGATCTGATTGTCCAATGTTATCATTGGCTGGGGTCATAACATCTGTTTATAATTTACATGCATTTGGTGATTTGATTTGCTTCGGGAAAATTCCATGTAATTTTTGTTTGAATTGCTAAGTAACTTGGAATTCTTTATCTCCTCCAGGCTCCAGATATGAGTAGCTCTGAAGACTTCCCGAGTTTTGGTGCTCCAGTTGCTCCAAAGACTTCGCCGTGGGGACCGAAAAGATTCTGAGCTGGAATAAACTCTATTTTCCAACCCCGCACCCCCTCTCCCAACCCTCGTATTGCTGGGTTGCCACAATGTGCTTCCTATTTGATTCCAGTTCAGCAGCCTAGCAAGTAATTAGCCTATTAAAAATTACTTCCTGTGTCACAGTCGTTTCCAAAAACACAACTGCCGTGATTGAAGGCCATGCTCATGAGCCTCATCTATATCCACGCAGTTGCGTGCTCCTAAACCCCACGGCATTCCACACACTCTGGCAAACGCAACTGTTTGGAAACAGCTTGCCACTGATTCGATGCAATGGCCCAAATTAGTGTTTATCTAGATTACCCATGTGACTTGGTCCACAGTTTATTTCAGTCTCGTCAACATTTGCAGGAGTTTGAAGCAAAGACTGGGTGGGGTTGTTGTCTCCTGATTTCCCCCCTTGGAGTTGGCATCCTTTTGCCTCCCATTGCAGTTTTCCTGGTTAAAAGTGCAGTTGTTTTAACCCTTCAACTGCCACTTGCCATAGAGCTCTTAAGCCCATTTTAATACCTGCACTTCGAACTTGGCTGTGAATCCAGTCCTTAAATCACAGCTCGGCTGACCTCATTTAAATTAAAACCTGAATCAGGTGCTCCTCCCAAGCAGGTAGACCCTGTGCTATGCCATTTTCCCAGGTCACTCAATGCGCACAGTCTTGGTTGTTTTCACCCTGTCCTCATGGTTGGACCATTGTGCATATGATGATATTGCTTTGTGCAAAGGGGAGGCTGTGAGCAAACCCCTGAACACAGCATATAAATGAAACTCTATTTGCCGTAACAGGGCCAACAGCAAATGAGCACTGAGGGGATTTTGGAAAAAAAATGCAAAAACAAGCCAAATGGATTCTCTTAAACTGTCCCACAGCCAAAGACTGATTGCTTTGTGCAAAGACTCTTTGTGCAAACACAGCACAAAGCCAAGGCAATGACTAATGAACAGTCAGAAAGGGTGAAGCCTCGAACTTTCAACCTGCTCCTGTTGCAGAGATCCCTGAAGTGGTACATTTTATTCCCTACTTTCTCTTTCATAATGGAGATTTTCTTTGAACAAGAAAATCTCATTCTGTTGAGAAAGTCTGAGACTTGTTAAAATGACACACTTGTTTACCCTGGACTGACTTGGTGTTTCTGTATACAGAAAAGGCACTAAATTAACAGTTTTGTGCACACGTATGTATCTGTTATACATATCAGACATGCATGGTAAAGACTTTGGTCCTGTCTATATGTCAATTCCAAAGAGCTTGGAAAAAGCTAACTTACAGAATGCATGTTAATGTTAGAGTATGCAGCATACACCATCTACTTGTAGTTTGATGTAAACAGAATCTTGAAAGGAAAGAGATTCTTCCTCTTCCAAAATGGAATTTATTTTCTCATGCAGGTGAGGATTGCCCATGTTGAACAGTTAAGGGGGGATACTGAGGGAAAGAACCATACAGTTCCACCCCACCAACATTACACATTCTGGGTCAATACCCTCAGGCAGGTAAATCTTAATAGCCAGATTTTGGTTCCTAGTAAATCATGCACTTGGGTTAATCCACACATTAACCCTCTTACACAGCACAGCATACCCAAAGGTTTAGGGACGGTGTGGGTAAGGGGAGAGCAGACAGCATAACATGCGAATAGGAAGTGGTACTTTTTTTGGAAGCTTGGGTCTTGCTTAGCACCACTAATGTTACCCACTGTGATGGGTCTTTACTAAATTAGTTGCAGAGTGCTGGTGGACAGGGCTTATTGACCTTTCGGGATAGCTGGTTTGAAAAACAACTTGCTGAGATCTACAAGGAAAAATAAATCTTAACAAAAACACTAATCTATTGAAAATGCATTCATCTGTTTTGATTTTCACCCCATTTTCCCTATAGACTCACTTGACTGTGAAAGAGACTCTTGTGTCAGGACCCACAGTCCAGTGAGTTGAAGCCATTTCATTTTCAGAATTTTGTTTCCAAGCAATTTCCAAGTCTGTTGTCTGGGAAATGACCGGAAACCCAGTCACTTCGCTGTGAATCTTTTTTGATTCGTAATCTTGGCTTTCCTTCATAATCAGGTCCAGTTTTTTGTTTTAAATCTTGTTGAATACTGGAACTGGATAGATTTCTAATCAGTTGAGCATTGTCCAATTTAATTGAGTAGTTCTGTCATATGTAAAGCAGAAGAGAGAAAACATTCCCCACTGCGCCGCCGCCGCCGTGCCCCCCCCCCCCCCCACTTTACTGCACCCCTGCCAAAGGAAAATTGGTTTGATAAAGCCTTGCTCTAGTTGAAGCCAATATCAGGCTATTTCTACAATTCATCAGGAGATGTAGTGATAATTAAATCACTTCTGAATTATTAATTGATAGATTAGTGGCCCTTTCATGTAGGGACATACTGCCTCTCAGAAGCTGGCTATCTCTTCAATGTGGTAGTCTCTTGCTGGCACTTTAAAGCTGAGGTGGGACTACTTTGTGTACTTGCATGTGCTCATATGTGAGTTTGCACCTTGCAGATTTAAACGTAATTTGTAGATCTCAGTTTGATAATGCTTTGATTTAACTGGGGTAAAAATTTGGTCTTTCTTTTGAAACAACTTGCTAATCTTCTCAGGGCGTCAGTGTGCAATTTCCCTCTCTGCAGGCTATGAGAATGTTAGCTGAAAGCTGACTTGCCCCTAATGTAGGGAGTAAGGTAGCAATAATGTACCAAGACCACCAGGTGCAAATTTGGTACTAAGTTCTCTAGCAGAACACCACTCAGCCCATGTTGACAGCCTGCTGGCACACTTTTTAGGTTCAGCTTACTTTCAAAGTGGATGTCCATGCATTAGGTACCATGGCCTGTTTTGTCCTTTTGTTCAAACCATCAATGTTCCAATGCCATTTTTCTTGTCTGCTATTGATGCTGCCCTGTTGTTATGGTAATGAAGGATTTGAGAAATGGGCCTACTATTTTCACTGCTCACATCTGTTCAAGTCTTCCATGTTGATGCAATACAAAGAACAAGCAGTTTCCATGTAAGACCCATTGGCCTTAACTCTGAATGGAGATATGCAAATGTATAGGAGATATGGATGACACTGGAATTTTATAAATCCAAAATTAAAAAAAAAATGAATAACTAGTCTCTCTGGACTGTGCTTGTGTTTTTGTACAATCTATCTACTACAATCTGTGAAGTTTCATTCATTTTGTTTGTTGGTATGTTTTTGGCAGTTCATGTGGAAAGGATGAAGGATGTCCATTGCTGTAGACGTTGCTTTGGCAACTAAGCAGCAGATGGCGGCATGGTCAATGATGCATTTCATTTTTAAGTTCCCAAGTTGAATTGAGATTATGAAATCATTAAAGTAGTTTATAAAACAGGGGGAGGCCATTTGGCTTTTCATGGAGGTGCTGATTCTCTACAGCTGAGGTGGTCCCACTTCTATGCCTTTTCTTGTGACCCTGCAAACTATTTTTCTTTAGATAAAAGATTATCCAGTTTCCCTTTTTGAAAGCCATGGTTCAACTTGCTGGTGTCACTGACCAGCAGCACATTTCAGATCCTAGCTACTCTCCATTTAATTTTTTTTTCCCCTCATGTCAACTGTGGTTCTTCTGCCAGTCACCTTCATCAGTGTCCTCTGGTTCCTGACTCTTCTGTCAATGGGAACAGTATCTATCTTGATCAAAACCCTCATGATTTTGACCATCTATATTGAAGGAGAATAGTCTCCGCTTCCTCCAGTCTATCCATGCAACTGGAATCTCTCATTGCTGGAGTGGTTTTCATGAATATTTTGTGCACCCTTTTCAGTTAAGTTCACATTGCTGTTATGTGCTTTCCAGAACAATATACAAAACTCTTCTTTCTGGCTAGACCATTTTATATAAAAGTTTAAACATAATTTCTTTGTTTTTATACTCTGCCTCCATTTATAAAGGCTCAGAGCCTTGTACGGTAACATACTACGGCTTTCCATTTTCACCCTATGTTGCAATGCCAATTTTGTGTTTTTAAAAATGGCATTGCTCAATATGCCACACGTAATATGCTCTAACATAGATGGGAACTAACTCAGGACTGGTACAGCCATTACACAAACACCCAACTGAAACTCCTTTCTTGCTTGTCAGTAGGATATCACTACAAATTTATATTCAGTTGTTCTTGCTGTTTCTGTCAGGCTTCTTCATTACTAGCCTTCAGCTCCTTTACTCAATTTTGTTGCAGAATGAAGTGGTGCATGAGGCCATGGGGTAGAGTGCGTTTTCAGCCTTCAACTTGTTCCTCAACCCACTCTTTCCTTTCAGAGATTGAGGATGGAGCTTCTCAATGACTTGAATGTCAATCACATCTGCAGCTGGTTAGCCTGAAACCTTTGTTCCTGATGAGCATTATACTTTATGTGCGGATACCTGAAGTTGGCCTCCAAACAGCAGCAGCAAGTGAGAAGTGCAACTTAAGCCTGTAGCATAGGATCTATGGTTCAGTTAAATGACCAATCTGAAATGAGGAATTAAGAGGGCTAAAAGGGGTCATGAAATATCTTTAGCAAACAGGGTTAAGGAAAATCCCAAAGCCTTTTATTTGTACATTAGGAGCAAAAGGGTAACTAGAGAAAGGGTTGGCCTACTCAAGGACAAAGGAGGGAAGTTATGCGAGGAGTCAGAGAAAATGAGTGAGATTCTTAATGAGTACTTTGCGTCGGTATTCACCGAGGAGAGGGACACGACGGATGTTGAGGCTAGGGATAGATGTTTGATTACTCTAGGTCAAATCAGCATAAGGAGCGGGGAAGTGTTGGGTATTCTAAAAGGCATTAGGGTGGACAAGTCCCCAGGTCCGGATGGGATCTATCCCAGGTTACTGAAGGAAGCGAGAGAAGAAATAGCTGGGGCCTTAACAGATATCTTTGCAGCATCCTTGAGCACAGGTGAGGTCCCGGAGGACTGGAGAATTGCTAATGTTGTCCCCTTGTTTAAGAGTAGCAAGGATAATCCAGGTAATTATAGACTGGTGAGCCTGACATCAGTGGGGAGGAAGCTGCTGGAGAAGATACTGAGGGATAGGATCTGTTTACATTTGGAAGAAAATGGGCTTATTAGTGATAGGCAGCATGGTTTTGTGCAGGGAAAGTCATGTCTTACCAACTTGATAGAATTCTTTGAGGAAGTGACAAAGTTGATAGATGAGGGAAGGGCTGTAAATGTCATATACATGGACTTCAGTAAGGCGTTTGATAAGGTTCACTATGATAGGCTGATGGAGAAAGTGAAGTTGCAAGGGATCCAGGGTATACTAGCTAGATGGGTAGAGAACTGGCTGGGCAACAGGAGACAGAGAGTTGTAGTGGAAGGGAGTTTCTCAAAATGGAGAACTGTGACCAGCGGTGTTCCACAGGGATCCGTGTTGGGATCACTATTGTTTGTGATATACACAAATGATCTGGAGGAAGGTATAGATGGTCTGATTAGCAAGTTTGCAGATGACACTAAGATTTGTGGAGTAGCAGATAGTGAAGGGGACTGTTGGAGAATGCAGCAGAATATAGATAGATTGGAGAGTTGGGCGGAGAAATGGCAAATGGAGTTCAATCCAGGCAAATGCGAGTTGATGCATTTTGGAAGATCCAATTCAAGAGCGAACTATATGGTAAATGGAAAAGCCCTGGGGAAAATTGATGCACAGAGAGATCTGGGTGTTCAGGTCCATTGTATCCTGAAGGTGGCAACGCAGGTCGATAGAGTGGTCAAGAAGGCATACGGTATGCTTTCATTCATTGGACGGGGTATGGAGTACAAGAGTCGGCAGGTCATGTTACAGTTGTATAGGACTTTGGTTCGACCACATTTGGAATACTGCGTACAGTTCTGGTCGCCACATTACCAAAAGGATGTGGATGATTTGGAGAGGGTGCAGGGGAGATTCACCAGGATGTTGCCTGGTATGGAAGGCACTAGCTATGAAGAGAGGTTGAGTAGATTAGGATTATTTACATTAGAAAGATGGAGGTTGAGGGGGGACCTGATTGAGGTATAGACAGGGTGGATAGCAAGAAGCTTTTTCCCAGAGTGGGGGACTCAATTACAAGGGGTCACGATTTCAAGGTGAGAGGGGAAAAGTTTAAGGGAGATATGTGTGGAAAGTTCTTTACGCAGAGGGTGGTGGGTGCCTGGAACGCATTGCCAGTGGAGGTGGTAGAGGTGGGCACGATAGCATCATTTAAGATGTATCTACACAGATACATGAATGGGCAGGGAGCAGAGGGATACAGATCCTTGGAAAATAGTGACAGGTTTAGATAGAGGATCTGGATCAGCGCAGGGTTGGAGGGCCGAAGGGCCTGTTCCTGTGCTGTAATTTTCTTAGTTCTTTGTTCTTTGTTGCTTACAAAAAGGACAAAAACAATCCAGCTAATTACTGCCCCATCAGTCCGCTCCCTCTCATCACTAAATTGATCGAAATGATAATACTGCTGACAATCAAGCAGCACTTGCAGAGAACTAATCTGCTCCCTGACGCTCAGTTTGGGTTCTGTCTGGGCCAATTAAGCTCCTGTCCTCATAACAGCATTCATGCAAAGCAGTATTTGACTGAACACAGTTTCACGGATCCCAACAAAACTGGAACTGATGAGAATCTGGAAAATTCACAACCGCTTTCTCCAGGGTAATAAGGAGTCGCCTAGCCGATGACACCCACAGTCCATGAATAAAGATGGTTAGTAGTACGTTTGCCTTTTAAATCGGAACGTTATGGATCAAGTGCCACTTGAGAGACTTCTACACAAAATCCAGACTGGTGATGCTATCTTCTAGTTGAGATGTCAAACCAAGCCCTGGTCTACCAGGAAAGAGCAATTAAAACACTGCTGAAGTAACTAGGTGGTGGTGTAGTGATAATGTCACTGGATTAACAATTCCGAGCCTTTGATAACAACTGTTACCATTAAAAACCCATCTGGTTCACTAATGTCCTTACCTGGTCTGGTGTGTGTGACTCCAGACCCTCAACAAGGCAGTTAAGAGTTAACCAAATTCTTGGCAATTAGGGATGGGCAAGATTACTGCCCACAGCCCACAAACAATTACAAAATAAATAAATTATGCTCCATTATTTCAGTGTGGAAAACTAGCTCTCATTTTTATGCCAGCTAAATTGTACGTATTGATTATTCCTGAAGGATTTGGAATTTTATTTTGTCTTTTCTTGGTTTGTTTTTACCTCTCGGTTCCATTTTTTTGTTTAGACAGCTGCTATCCTGCCATTCATAACTCTTCTACACATCTTCTTTTCTCATCCCAATACCATTTCCTTTAGCATTGCACTGATGAAACCTCTGCTGCCTAACTCAATGAGCAGTCCCAACATTTTCTGCTAATATCTCCATGACATTCAAGCTTTCAGCTTACCAATATGTATTGCTAAACACCAAAGCCAAGTCTGCTGCTGGTGACAGTTTTGTATGTTGGAAAGGGAAGTAATCCCTGACTTTGTGGAATTTGATTTTTCTTTGTCTTAGAGTCATAGAGATATACAGCATTGAAACAGATCCGTTGGTCCAACTTGTCCATACCAACCAGATATCCTAAAGAGATCTAATCCCTTTTGGCTCTTATCCCTCCAAACCTTTCCTATTCATGTGCCCATCCAGATGCCTTTAAATGTAATTGTACCAGCCTCTACCAGCCTCTGGTTGCTCATTCCATTCTATGTGAAAATGTTGTCCCTTAGGCCCCTTTTAAATCTTTCCCCTCTCACCTTAAACCTATGCCCTCTAGTATTGGACTCCCCTACCCTGGCAAAAAGACCTTAGCTGTTCACCCTATCTATGCCTCTCATGATTTTATAAACCTCTGTAGGGTCACCCCTCAGCATCCAACACTCCAGGGAAAATAACCCCAGCCTATTCAGCCTCTCCCTATAGCTCAAACTCTTCAACCCTGGCAACTTCCTTGTAAATCTTTCCTGAACCCTTTTTAGTTTCACCTTTCAATGTTAACTCTGGTTTTTCCTTCACAATGCTGCCAGACCTGCTGAGCTTTTCCAGCAACTTCTGTTTTTGTTCACTTGTATCTTACTCTCCTCTCAACCAAGGTCTGACAGGATCTGTGGGAGAGAAACGGGGTTAACATTTCGAGTCTGGTACAACTCATCTTGCTTTCATTTTATTGGATTAAAATATCCTGGATGTGCTCTGACAGACCTAGCTCATACCTCATTAGGACCCAGTTGGGTATTTGCTGACCAATGAGCAAAGGAGCCACAGTTAAGATCCCAGACAGTGATTGTCTGGCTCCACATCAGATGGTCCACCAGGGGAGACACAGTGTAGAAAGTTACAGTTTTCTCCTTTGTAGATATTTTAAATTCATTTACCTTATTTCAACAGTTATTTCATTTACCAATGTAGAAATTAGGCTTTCAAAGTATTGTGTTTCAATTTATAGGTACAGATTTATTTTTCTGTGAAGGAATGCCCTACAGAACCTAACTGTAGGTTTAACATTGATTGCTATGGAAATCAATGCTTCACTTAAAGTCTTTCCACTTAAAATTGCGATTTTCAGGAATGTAAACCCAACTCTAAGTGAGGACATGTTATGCTGAGGGAGCACTGCACTGTCAGAAGTGGCATCTCTCACATGGGAATTGAAACTGATGTCCCCATCTGTCTTCTGGGTGGGTGTAGAAGACCCGTATGGCACTGTTTCAAAGCAGAGTACGGACGTTTCTCCTGGTGCCCTTCAATATCTAGGCTTCAATTAACATCACAAAGCAGATTTACTGGTCATTATCACACTGCTGTTTGTGGAAGCTATTCCTGGGTGCAAATTATGCCATGTTTCCTACATTACAATAAAAGGCAGCATGGTGCCCCACAGCACCAGGGACCCAGGTTTGAATCCACCCTCGGGCAACTGTCCGTGAGGAGCTTGCACATTCTCCCCATGTCTGCATGGGTTTCTGCTGGTTGCTCCAGTTTCCTCTCATGATCCAAAGATATGCAGACTAGGTGGAACGGACATGCTAAATTGCCCACAGTGTTCAGGGATTTGCAAGCTAAGTCGATTGTTAATGCAGGGTTATAGAGATAGAGTTGGGTGGGATGCTCTTCAGAGGGTCAGCATGAACCCGATGAATGACCTACTTCCGCATTGGAGGGACTCTATGGTAACGACTATACTTCCAAAAAGCATCCTGAGGGTCTGAGACATCCAGTGGTTGTGAAAGGTGCCATGCAAATGCAATGTCTTTCTTTTTGTGAAGTTTGTCATTGTGTTCCTCTGCAACAGTATGCAGCACAGTGGTAGCCAGGGGATCATGGCTCAAGTCCCAACCGCTCCAGTAGTGTGTAATAACATCTCAGAACATGTTGATTAGAAAATACCTATCCAGCAGAATGTCAGCACATTTGCTGTGCTCAAAAATATCACAAAGATGTGATGTTTACAGAGACAAAGACACACCACACAGGAAGCTCTACTCTCTGTACTGAACATACATGACTCTGCTTATCGAATTTCAATTGCCAAAAGATAGTGTGTTAGCAAACTGTGCCATAATTTCCTCAGAAGATAGAAATTCGAAATATTCCAGTTTCAACAGTCCAGTTTGAGTTTCTGAGGAGTGAGTGGTTTTGTAGTTGTCAATCATTTTGTTGAGAAGCACTTGATTAAACATCCATTCTCTACATGATCTTAAAGTCCTCCATTCTGTCTGGCACCAATTGGAATTTGCTCTATATTATCCAGGAGACTTTTCTGTGTGACCAGGATAACCTTGTTACTAATACAAGTGGGTGTTCAGTGCAGCATTGACATAAACTTTGAAATAGACCCTTGTATTTCAGTGTAAACCATGTCTTGAGAATGACTATTTTGGCTCTTTATTGTAACTTTCTGTCTATTTCAATGAGTGCTTGGAAAACCAGCCCCAGTGGTCCAGTGACTTTCCATGGACACTCACTGAGGTAAAGTCAGCACTCTGATCTCAGCTTGGCCAACTGGTAGACACTGACACTGACACTGACATTTCCCTGAGCCAGAAACAGAACAATCACTGAAAATTCCTGATCACCAGCCAGAGGCTGGTGTAACTACTGGGAGAGTTAGGCAGGCAGGTTGTGGGTAACATTGTGCCTCCTGTAGTTGAATAGCCAGCCAGAGCTCTATGGTCAGGCTGACACTGTGCAGAGCAGCTACTAGGATAGAACAGGCCTCCTGAGAACTTTGATTCCTTCAAGAGATTGGTGAGATCAGAGAAACAGATTTGCTGTAAATACCCATTGAGCACTCATAAGACGGCTCCTTATTTAAACAGACATTAATATTTATGGGGAGGGAATGGGGAAGCATGTTTGAGGTAGGTGAGAAAGCTCAAAACTCCTGGGAAAATAGAAACTGATAAGACCTTTGTTAGAGTTTACTCTCTTACCCTCCTTTCCCGGACAGGAACGTTGACTGTGGAATATCGGATTTGGCCCTGGCAATCTGGAATGAGCAGCAGTCGGAGGGATGGATGGAGGGAGGGATGGAGGGAAGGGAGTCTGGGATTTATCAGAGCTAAATGTCTGTGTTGGTTTGTCTTGACCCACAAGCTGCGCTAGAAAAAAAAAGCACCGATCCACGGGATCAGCCTGCCTCCCGAATCATTCCAGTTACCGCCTTTCCTGGGAATGCCAGGAAACCCCACACAAAAATGTTAAACTCAAATCACTGTCAGAAGGTCCGGAATGGAGAATCTCACTTAATCATTCCAATTGTAGGCCCACTAAAAATCCACGGTGCTTTAAACAAAAGTAGGTGAGTATTTGGTAGGGGTCAGGTTTCACAAGAAATAGGAGCTGGGGAGGCCGTTCTGTCCATCAATCCACTCTGCTACTTGATAAGATCATGGCTGGTCTGATTATAGCCTCAACTCCCCTCTCCTGCCAACCTTAAAATACTGTGGTGGCTTAAAATACTGTCCCCCCCATCTCCCGCTCTCAACCACTTGTGTTTTATTTGAGCGAGCTGTGTGGGTATTTCTGAACAGTCTCAGATTGGATCCACAATGTTGCAGAACAGCTGCAGGCTGGTGATTGAGGGCTTCAGGCTAAACTGGTGCATCTTCTGGGATTGGAGGCAGATCTTGCTTGTCTACAGCTGCTCTGGTTTCTGATCGTCTCAAGCTGACCAATCCATTTGAGCTTTCAGTCTGTTCCAGAAAAACCTGAAAAGCAGCATGGGAAGGTTTCATTTAATACCAGAGAATGTCTTCGTATGTGTGTGTGTGTGTGTGAGTGTGAGTGTCTGAGAGAGACGGTGTGTGTCTGTGTATGTGTTTGTGAGTGTATCAGTGTCTGTGTGTGTCTGTATGTCTGTGTGTGTCTGTGAGAGTGTATGTGCCTCTGTGTGTGGCTGGGTGGGTATGTGTGTGGGTGTGTGTGAGGGGTGTCTGTTAACATGTGTCTATGTGTGTGTGCGTGTGTCTATGCATGTGTCTGTGTGTGTGCGTGCCTGTGCGTGTATGTGTGTTTATGGCTGCAGTATAATTGTTTGTGTATGTATATGTGTATACACAAATGTGCTACATTTGTTTGGGAGAAATGATCTGCTAAGTCATTGACAGATTCTGTGCCTTCTCCCAAAAGGAATATACCTTTCCCTTGTTCCCGAACCACAGTTGAAATTTGAATCACCAACTCACCATGGAGGTATTGGCACAAGACATCCATTTCCAGAAGACACTCAGTAAGGCACCACATGTTAGGCCACTTAATAAGATAAGAGCCCATGGTGTTGAAGGGAATATATTAGCATGGAAAGAGGATTGGCTAACTAATAGAAGATAGAGAGTTGGGATAAGGGTGACGTTTTCAGGAAGGCAACCTATAACCTATAACTCAGAACTAGTTCTATGTTCTATGTTCTATGAGTGCTACAGGGATTAATGCTGGAGCCCCAATTATTTACAATATATATTAATGACTTGAATAAGGGAAGTAAATGTACTGCAACCAAGACATGAAAGGGAGGCAAATGGTGAGGATGATGCAAAGGGATAGAAGTAGTTTAAGTGAGAAGGCAAATGCCTGGAAGATGGATCATAGCGTGGAAAATGTGATATTGTGTGTTTTGGCAGGAAGAATAGAAGAGATGTATATTATTTAAATGGAGAAAGACTGCAGAGAGCTGCAGCACAGAGGGATTTGGGAGTCCTTATGCATGAATTCCAAAAAGCTAGCAGTCAAGTTCAGCAGATTATTGGGAAGTCAAGTGGAATTTTGGCCTTTATTTCAACGGGAATGGAATATACAAATAAGGAGAGCCTACTATAACTATATATGGCACCAGTCAGATCATTGCTGTGGACACTGTGGATAGTTTTGGCTCCCTTTTCTAACAAAACATACATTGGTGTTGGAGGTAATTCTGAGAAGATTCACTAGGCTGATTCTGGGTATGGAAGGATTTTCCGATGAGGAAAGGTTAAAATGCTAAAGGGAACTGATAAGGTGGACATTAAACAAATATTTGCCCTTGTTCAACAGTCTTGAACAAGAGGTCATAGATATAGAATGAGAGGAGAAACTATTTCTCTCTGAGGGTTGTGAATCTTTAGAACTCACTGCCCCAGAGTGCAGTGGAGGCAGAATCAATCAACAGATTCAAGAAAGAAATAAATATATTTCTGATGAAAACTGGGATATAAAGGGCAGACAGGAAAGTGGAATTGAGAGATGATCAAGTCAGCCATGATCTCATTGAATGGCAGAACAGACTCAATGGGCTGCACGGCCTACTTCTGTTCCTACATCTTAATGTCTTCAAACACACCAGCCAGACTTTTACACCCAACCCCAATATAGTTGTTACCACAAAAGGAAAGTATGCAAATAAAGGGAAAAAAAAACAGAAGTTGTTGGAAAAGTTCAGCAGGTCTGGCAGCATCAGTGAAGAAAAAATCAGTGTTAATGTTTTGGGTCCGGTGACCCTTCCTCAGAACTGATGGTAGCTGGGAAAACATCAGTTTATATGCAGAAAATAAGGAGGGGAATGGGCTAGGGAGTAAATGATAGGATAGAGCCCAAAGAGAGAAAAGAGCAGTTGGATAGACAAAGGAGTTGATAACGATCATTTCTGAAGAAGGGTCTAGGCCTGAAACGTCAGCTTTCCTGCTCCTCTGATGCTGCTTGGCCTGCTGTGTTCATCCAGCTCTACACCTTGTTATCTCTTGATAACGATCTGGTTGGGAGGATGAATAGTAGGCAAATAGTTTTTTTTTAAATATTACACTGAAGTTACTCCCAGATTACTTACAATACAATGCTGAAGTATTCTCTGTGGGATGTGAGCAGTAATTATTGGCTATCCCTAATTACCCTTGAACTGAGTGGTTTACCAGATAATTTCAGAGGGCAGTTACAAACCAACCACGTTGCTGTGGGTCTGGAGTCACGTGTAGGGCAGAAAACAAGTTTCCTTTCCTATAGGTCATCAGTGAACCACATGGACTATTATAACTGTTGATGATTGTTTCCTCAGTTGCAATTACTAGGATTAGCTTCCAATGCTAGCTTTGCAACCAATTGAATTTAAATTTCTCCATCTCCCATCATGGGATTTGAACCCCTGACCCACAAACACTCAGCTGAGGTTCAGGATTACTGATATTAGCACAGACTCACAGCTCGCCACTCCTCGGTCACCTTTTTGCCCTTTCACCCGGCCCTTTGACAAGACTGACGTCTCCATTGATTTCTCTATGACTGTCCCACCTCCATTTCTGATTCCCAAACCTCTGTCGGCTCCTTAATAGTACATCACTGTGACTCTCCATCAAAGTATAAAATCCACCCGTGCATTGAATGGTTTCACGAATTAGAATTAGATTTATTGTCATATGCACTCAAATACAGGGATAGATGAGTACAGTGAAGAGTGCACAAAGTTGCCATTTCCAGCACCATCAAGGGTCCTTGTCTGATTGCATTACTGAATTATACACATCTTCATCTGCAGAGAATGACACTGGTGTCAATGATATTCCTGATCAAGCCAACTGAACAATCTTCTGCGTTTCACACTGATTCGTCTCTACAATTACCTGGTTCTCAGCCAGAGCCTGCTTTGCCAAGTAGCGCTCCCTCTTCACTTTAATTTCCACAGAATCAGGGATGTCCGGGACCAGCAAGTCAATTAACCGCGCAATGAAGAACACCAAATGCTGCCAGAGAGATAAGAGAGGAGTGAGTTTAAACGGTGAGCAGTGTTTTCACTTGATAACACAGCAAAGGGTTTAGATGTTGCTGGAAAGGTCAAACTTAACCTCTCAATATTACATTACAATTTACTATATTAATAGTTGAAGGCACTCAACAAAACTTTTATGAGTTAAATTATCTGGGATTTATGTTCATGAGTGTCTAATCCTGTTTAACTCCATGTCAGACCCAGGTCTACACTGGGTCAGGTCCTAATTTCACTCTTTATGTTGGGCAGGGTGTTAAAAAGGCTGGTGTTTCACTATCACCCCTTGTTCTACAATCAATATGAATTTTACCCTATTATGGTACATGGACTTGTAACACAGTCGTTGCCATTTCTCATCCACATCACAAGACACTCCATAAGCGCGGTGCTTTCTATAACTGCACTAAGCCTTACTCTGCCTCTCTATCCAACCTCAAACAGACACCTCCTAAAGAACAAATAAAGAACAAAGAAAATTACAGCAGAGGAACAGGCCCTTCGGCCCTCCAAGTCTGCACCGACATGCTGCCCATCACAACTAAAACCCTCTACCTTTCCGGGACCGTATCCCTGTATTCCCATCCTATTCATATATTTGTCAAGACGCCCTTTAAAAATCACTATAGTATCTGCTTCCACTACCTTCCCCGGCAGCGAGTTCCAGGCACCCACCACCCTCTGTGTAATAAATTTGTCTCGTACAGCACCTTTAAACGTTGCCCCTCACACCTTAAACCTATGCCCCCTACTAACTGACTCTCCCACCCTGGGAAAAAGCTTCTGATTGTCCAGTCTGTCCTTGCCCTTCATAACCTTGTAGACCTCTATCAGGTCTCCATCCAACCTTCGTCATTCCAGTGAGAACAACCCAAGTTTCTCCAACCTCTCCTCATAGCTAATGCTCTCCGTACTAGGCAACATCCTGGTAAATCTTTTCTGTGTCCTGTCCAAAGCCACCACATCCTTCTGGTAGTGTGGCAATCAGAATTGAACACAATATTCCAAATGCGGCCTGACTAAGGTTTTATAAAGCTGCAACATTACCTGCCAATTTTTAAACTCAATGCCCCAGCTGATGAAGGCAAGTATGCCGTATGCCTTGTTGACTACCTTTTCCACCTGCGTTGCTCCTTTCAGTGACCTATGTACCTGTACACCCAGATCCCTCTGCCTATCAGCTCATCTCCCATAAGAAAGAAATTATGTTCATATTGTACCTTTCTCATCATCATCCAATCTTAAGTTTCACAGCCAATAAATTACTAAGTCAAGACTTTAAAGATTTAATTAACAACAGTTTGTGCCCAGTAAGGTCCCACAGATAGCAGCGATCAAGAGCCAGATAATCTTATTCTGACCAAAGCTGGTATAGCCTGCTTCCCTGGTCAGTTCCAGAATGTGATAACAAGGTGTGGAGCTGGAGGAACACAACAGGCCAGGCAGCATCAGAGGAGCAGGAAAGCTGACATTTCAGGTCTGGGGGAGGGGAAGGGGGCTCTAAAATAAATAGAGAGGGGGAGGGTGGTGATAACAGGTAGATAGTGGAGCAGATAGGTGGGAGAGATGACGGACAGGTTAAGGAGGCAGAGATGAAGCTAGTAAAGGTGAGTGTAGGTAGGAAGTTGGGATGGGGGTTGGTCAGTGAGGAGGGAGGGGCGGATAGGTGGGAGAGAAGACAGACAAGTCAAGGAGGCGGGGATGAGAGGGGGTGCTGGTCTTGGGATGAGGTCGGGGGTGGGCAGATTTTGAAGCTTGTAAGGTCCACATTGAGAACAAGGCGGAATATGAGGTGCTGTTCCTCCAGTTTCCGGGTGGCATCATTGTGGCACTGGAAGAGGCCCAGGATGGACATGTCGTCCAAGAAGTGGGAGGGGGAGTTGAAGTGATTCGCGACTGGGAGATGTTGTCGTTTGTCGCGAACCGAGCACAGGTGCTCTACAAAGCTGTCTCCAAGCCTCCGCTTGGTTTCCCTGATGTAGAGGAGGCCACAGCGGGAATAGCAGATACAATATTACACATTAACAGATGTGCAGGTGAACATCTGTTTAATGTGGGAGGTTTTCTTGGGCCCTGGGATGGAGGTTAGAGGGGAGGTGTAGGGGCAGGTGTAGCACTTCCTGCGGTTGCAGGGAAAGGTGCCGGGGGTAGTGGGGCTAGTGGGGAGTGTAGGGCGGACGAGGGAGTCGTGGAGAGAGCAGTCCCTCCGGAAGGCAGATAAGGGTGGGGAGGGAAATATATCCTTCGTAGTGGAGTCAGATTGCATGTGGCGGAAGTGGCGGACAATGATGCGTTGAATCTGGAGGTTAATGGGGTGATAATGGGGTGACACCTCCCAGTCGAGAACCACTTCAACTCCCCCTCCCACTCACTGGACGACATGTCCATCCTCAGCCTCCTCCAGTGCCACAATGATGCCACCTGGAAACTGGAGGAGCAGCACCTCATATTCCACCTTGGGAGCCTATAGTCCAATGGTCTCAATGTGGACTTTACCAGTTTCAAAATCTCCCCACCCTGATCTCATCCCAAGACCAGCCCCTCTCATCCCCACCTCTTTGACCTGTCCGTGTTCCCTTGCACCTACCTGCCCCTCCCTCCTCACTGACCAACCCCCACCCCCACTTCCTACCCACACTCACCTTTACTGGCTTCATCCCCGCCTCCTGGACCTGTCCATCTTCACTCCCACCTATCCGCTCCACTATCTACCTGCTATCACCACCCTCCCCCTCTCTCTATTTATTTCAGAGCCCCCTTCCCCTCCCCCATTTCTGAAGAAGGGTCCAGACCCGAAACGTCAGCTTTCCTGCTCCTCTGATGCTGCCTGGCTGTTGTGTTCCTCCAGCTCCACACCTTGTTATCTCAGACTCCAGCATCGGCAGTTGCTACTATCTCTCAGTTCCAGAATGTGCTGTTCTAACAAACCGTCTCAGAAACCATTCTCTTGTACTGTCACTCTAGTCCCACTACTCCACTGTCGCAACATAAAAATAAACAACAAATTTCTGGTTACTGAGATGGCCAATTAAATACTGCATTGATATCAGTTTTAAACTAAAAATTAAATAAAACTTTTGATCCCTGAATCTGACGGCAAGAAACTATAGACAGTTGTGAACACAGCCCAGTCCATCACACAAGACAACCTCCCATCCCTCCTATCCCATCCATAGATCAAGTCCATTTACACTTCTCACTGCCTCAGGAAGGCAGCGAACATCATCAAAGACCCCTCCCACCCTGTTATAATCTCTTCCAACCTCTTCTGTCGGGCAGAAGATACAAAAGTTTAAACACAAGTAATAACAGATTCAAGAACAGCTTCTTCCCTGCTATAATCAGACTTCTGAATGGCGTGCTCAAATTTCAAATCTAATCTTGATCTTGTTCTTTGTGCATCTGCTCTGTGGCTATAATATTATATTCATCGCTCTTTTACCCTAATGCACTTTGTGTGGTTTGATCTGCCTGTACTGCACACAAAACAAAATTTTTCACTGTACCTAGGTATATGTGACAATAATAAATCAAATCAAAAAACTCAGGAAAAGGTGGAGAGGTGGTTCTGTTAATTAATGATGGTATTAGCACAATAGAGAGGGGTAAAAACCAAAGTTCAGGAAACAAGACTATGGAAACAGTTTGGGTAGAGATAAGGAATGATAAAGGCAAAAAATCACTTGTGGGAGTAATGTATTAAGAGTAACGCACATGGTTGGGTGGTGCATAAAGGAAGAGATAATGGGAATTTCTCAGATAAGCTCAGTGGTAATCATGAGCAATTTTAATCCACATGTAGATTGTCAATGTCAGATGGACAATGGTGGCCTAGATGAAGAGTTTACAGATTGTTTCTACGATTGTTTGTTAGAAAAGCACATTCTGAAGCTGATAAGGGAACAGCCTATACAAGACCTGGTGTTGTGTAATGAAACAGGATTAATTAATGATCTCAGAATGAAGGGACACCTAGATCACAGTGACCATAATATAACTGAATATTATGTTCGATTTGGGGGAGAGAGTAGTGGGTCTAAGCATGGTATTTAAATAAGGGCAATTATAAGTGCACAAAAACAGAGCCTTCTGAGTGAGTAAATTAGGGTAAAGGAAAGGTCGCAGAATCAGAGATGCTGAATGAGGCTATTCGGACCATTGAACCTGTAGTAGTGCCCTCACCTAGCGCCAAACACCTGCCTTTTCCCCATACCCTTGCCAAACAATTATCCAATGTCCCTCTTGAATGCCTCATTTCCAGCAATGCATTTAATACAGAGATGAGGCATTTTCTTTCCTCTCACAGGGTAATCTGTCTTTGGAATTCTCTCCTTAAAACGTTAGCGGAGGCAGAGTTAATATTTTTAAGATGGAGGCAAATAGAATCTTTTAATCAAGGAGGTGAAAGGTTATCAGCAGTAGGCAGGAATGTAGATCCAATCAAATCAGCCATAATCATATTGGTCTTTCTCCTACTGCTAATTCATACATAAGAACCAGGTTTCTTTAAATTCAAAATTATTGGTTTATTACAAAATAAAATTTATTGAATGAAGATGCAAAACTACTAACGCAAGAAAACAATCCAGGTATCACCAAGAAACTTCAAATAAATTTCAATTTTCCCACAATCCTTCAAATTGGACGTGAGGAATGTTGGTCATGATCCAATTGAATCGCAGAGAGAACTCAAGGGGCCAAATGGCCTACTAACATTCCTATTTCTTAAGGTCTTACGTAATTCCTCAAAAAGAAATCATTACTTCAACATCTCCCTTTTTTATTGCTTAGATAATTCAGATAAAGTTACATTCTTGGCATAGCATCAGGGATATTCTATCGTTCTTTTTCTGGCAATGTGAACAATTTTTAAGTGATAAAGTGCATCAGCAAACTCCATCCCAATAATGTGGCAATTTGTTTTTTGAAATGTTCTCTAAAAGCTAGAGGGTTTAGATCAATCTATGCCAACGTTTC